GTCTCCGCCGTAATGTAACCTGCCATTTCGAGAACAAATCAAAGTTGCAGCTTTATAGCACTTTAAATATACCTTTAATTTTTTCCTAATAGAAGCACTGTATTTGAGTAATTGAAAACATTAAATAGAATATTGTAGAAATCTGTTGAGAATATTGACTAATCGTGTGTCTACATCGGTCTGGCAATTTTTGCTCGAAGGAATCCTCCGAAATTTTCCTACTCTGCAAGTACTCTGAAAATACTCAGCAAGTTCATCATTGCATGCTTAGTTGCCGGTGCCCCTAAAAAGTACACGCATTTGTTGAGAGGAATTAAGATCATACCTGTACCTTGTTAGCCCGGATTAATAGTGCCTCGGAGACGAATGAAGATGTTTCAAATATATTAGACGAAGTCACTACTTCGCTAAAGGAACTTTTCAGTACGGCCAATTGCGAAATACTTGAGACTTCTATAAGAAACACCGTCAAGGCGAGGAACCCCATACCTAACTCATCGATATCAGTCCAGCAGTTTTTGCTAAAGGGCACCCAGTTGACTTATAAATGGTACGTGCTTTTCAATATTTTAACAACTTGTTCAGTTCGAGGTATGCCAAAAATGCTCACCGTTGCTCTACGAAAATTCAAGTATGCATTCTTTTTTCTAACATTTATTTAATACTTCGCTGAAGTATTTACGTACTTTCAAATTTCCGAAACTACTGGACCGTCACGAATGCAAATGGGGGACTCCGAGACCTCGCCGAATGAAGGGAGGAAGGAAGTATGTCAATTTTCCGTTTCATTTCATGCGTGAATGTGATTTTTTCTTTAGGACAGGGAGTTTTGCAACACAGGGAAGAGCTAGACTGGTTTCCACTATAATTACTACTCAAAGGTGTTAGCGCGTCGGACATCTCTGTAGGTTTATGTATTGAATATGAGTAAAAGATGCAGACTCACGAATGGCAGAAGCATATTGAAGTAAAAATGAGAAATCTGGGAACACGACTAGACTCGATGGAGACTTGCGAAAGACTGACCACGAAGGGAGAGCGACTCAAGGTCTTTCTTCTTAAAAGTTTCCCTCTCTCTTCTCTCTGGACACTCTCTCCTGATATCTCTTTTCACTTTCTCTTTCCCTGATACCTGGGTTACAATAGTCGTCCGCTCCGAATGACATCATCCCCTACGGGACGGAAGCACCAAAGGAGATTGCCGTCACGTTCGAATCGAACTTGACCCGGAAAAGGAGGAGAAAGAAAAATGATCGTTCCGCATTTCCTGGGGAAGGAAAACGTCCTTGGACCACGCCCAAAAGATGCCGTGTCTGGACCGGAGGGAATTACGACTGACGTTAAAGGCCTCTCGCACGGGTTCTGTTCCTTCTTCCGCCATTCTTGACATTTACAAATTTGTCCACTGGCGATTGAAGTCCCTGAGCCAGGAGCCTTCCGCATCCAACAATCTCTTAGTACCTTCCTTCGTCTGTGTAACCTTGTTTCTCATTTTTGAGCTATAGGACGTTCCTTCAACTCGATGAGATCCAGCTTTTCACATATTCGAGATCCAAGATTCGGAACTGAGGGTGTAAAATTAGAAGCGATAACGATGACGACGAATGCGGTCTTCACTAGCGAGAACGACTTATCAATGAACCGAGTAGCGTAAAGGAAAGCCTCCAGTTTGACAATAGATAAAGTCTGGTGTTGGAGTGCTAGATTTATCGTTTATACATATCAGAAAGCAAATATTCAGAACTTTAATTCCTGGAAGTTTAAAGAATGCATGGGTCGTTTGGATGATAAAATAAACACCGTCATTCAGATGTCGATTTAAAAAAAAAAACAAGCTTTTTCATGTACCAGGATGCAGTTGTTTCAGCAGTGCTCAGCTGTGAATTGTGAATGCAGTACCTCATTTGCCTCGAAAAAGCCTGTTTCTATGACTGTGCCGTGATTTTTACTGTTCATTGCCATCATGTCGCAATTGACATGGAAAAGCCTCACTGTTATGAAGGTGTGTTTTCAAAATTAGGGCTGGAGAGGGAAGAGACCACACGAAACCCAGTCCATGATGTGATTGAAAACTGACTATACTCTTCCCTCTCCAGTTCTCATTTCCAAAACACACCTTTATCAAATTGGAGCTTTCCTTCCTCAGTTGTAGTTTGGATATACTGCACGGTCAAGACCATTATACCAAGAACACCGCCATGAAAACTGCCTTTATAGCGCAAAATAAGAGAAATCTTTTAGCATTGCTGAAACCGCTCCAACCAGTTAGGTGGGAAAACTAAATTTTCTTGCTGAAGTTTGACTTACTTTTTCTCCTGATGAGTAGACTTTTCTTTCTTGCTTTGCTTTCTGTAAATGAAATTTTGTGCATTTTCCATGTGATTCAAAATAGAAATGATGAACCTAGTTTTTCTACAATTTTTTTAATTATAAAGCATCATATGGGTGCTATTTTTTTTTTACCGACCTTATACGCACAATACGCATTTAGCATTTCTGCTCTACAAATTCTCACTTTACGTGTGGTGATCAAAAAGTTCAAAGCCTGAGGCACTTCCAGGTGCAATACACCTTCGCTAATTTAATCATGAGACGACAAGCGTCTTTGATGGTGACTGGCAAAATTTCAACATATTTGTCAGTTAAATATAACTTTTATGAATGTTTGCAAGGGATGAAAAGTGACTTGAATGCTGTGATGAATTTTCTGGCTTCTTGGGAGTCGATCTCCATGGAGATCTTTCGTAGAGGTATCAGTAGGATCCTATCCTCTTAGCTGCTGAGAGATCGACCCCTCAGAAGCTAGTAAATTCATTGCAGCATTCATGTCACTTTTTATACCCTTTCAGCAGACCTTTTGGTAGCACATTGAAAGAAATTCATAGAAGTTATATTTAACTGACAAATACCCCCTCATATGTTGACATTTTGCCTGTCACCATCAAAGATATCTGTCTTCTCATGATAAAAGTAAAAAGTATATTGCAACTGGAAGTGCCTCAGGCTTAGACCTTTTTGATCACCCCACGTACTACCGTACTGGTAGGGTTCAAAATTTAAAATTTGGGCGGGGTGGAAGACCCCATGAAGTCTGGGTGCGCACTTCCTGATCACTCATAAAGGCTGTTTTGTTGGGGTTCCTTGCGATACTATTAATAAGGACGTATCTTACTGAAGGAGTAGCAAGCATGATTGAATAGAGAGAGGGGGGGGGGGAAGGAAATACCATGATCCCCCGATTGCTTTTGGGGTGTTGCTTTATTCAGTTAATCTACCAATTTCTGCTAGGTTTTCTGAGGGGTAAGGTCAGATAAAACAGTATGCCTAATCAATGAAATAATCAACAGTCCTGTCGAGACCAGTCGGGACTCTAGAAATATTGTTCAGTTACGGAGGAAACGTGGACATAAGCTGAAGGCAGAAATTAATTTGAGCAGGAGCTCCCCCCCCCCTTCCCCCTCTTCCCTCCTCCCCTCCTTGACATTCATCTGTCATAATAGTGGGCCTCCCCTTACAAAAATCCTTCGTACGCTACTACACTGTACGCTACTCTGAACTCGGATTCTTCATTTCCCAGAAATTAATCCCCGATTCAGAAGGTGAGAAGTTGTGTTTGGGGGGGACCTGATTACACTGCAATTCTAATCCTTGAAGGTGCTATCATGCCTTTCAATTCTGCAACTTGGAAAAGGCTCGGGTGGTAGTACTCCTCCTGGTGGATGGAGCGAAAGCCCCTCCGTTAAGTCAACGTTCATAGGGTATAGGTTTGGATAGGGGGCACTTTCGCCCCTTATGATATCCTGTCAAGGTCGAACGTTCATGTATAACAGGGATTGCCTAACACCTCTTGAAGATAGATAATTCTGCGGGAACATCCACTTACAGCCACATTGCTCCCTTTTTTGCTTTGTCCATGAAGGTGTCTGACTCCTTCTTAACCATTTATGTGGGGAGTTTTCAATCCACGGGTTTACCACTAATGGGGAGTTTTTGCCAGTAGAGAAGACTGATTTTATATTTTGAACAGTTTTTATTATTATTGATGATTTGCGCGATTTCTCATGGAGCTCACTTGTCATACCCACTAAATGTACTCGGAGAATTATCGTTACGGAGATATCTGTCATACTCAGGTAAGAGGTTGAAGCTAGTTTCGGCACGGGACAACCGTTACATCATTAAACGCGCTCCACGCATTCATGACCCTACAAGCAGTGAACGTAGCCAGGATTTCGCCAGGATTTCCCCACCGTTCCGCTTAGCGGAACGGTGGGGGTGGGGGCTAGAATTTCCCTTACATCTTCCCTTACTTCTACGCCACTGCCTGCAAGTGAAAAATTCATTCTCGCAAGTTGAATTTCACTTTGGGGTAACGCCACATGAACCGGCTCCTTCTCCTTTTATCGCTGCATCAAGTTGGAAGAATCTACCATGCTCCACATGATCGATTCCATTGACCTCTAACGCCTGGATGAGTTACCCCCTCATTAATCTTTTCTCGAGCGAATTTAGTTCAACCCTTCTAAACGTTTCTCATATGAAAGTCCTCTTACCTCTTTCATCATTACTGTAGCCCGCCTCAGGACCCTCTCAAGGGCCGTAAGATTGAAAGAGCCGCGAGATTCGTTCCGGTATTGATAAAAGAACGCGACAGGTGGTTGTGGCTCCATGACATTTCACTCAGAATTGAACCTGGACGTGTAACATGTATGCATGTACGTATGCATTCTTAGTAAAACGAAAAATTGAGGTCCACGAAAAGACCCATACCAGGCTTTTCTGGGGAGGAAATTTAGAATGAAAAGGATTCGCATTTTCTTTCCTGAATTTTGACTTTTACCCAAAGAGTCAGGAAGTATTCATAGTTTTCTTGCACGAGTAGTAAATTGATTCGATGCATTATCTACCAGATGAATGCTCGCAAAATAGTCTGAAACTTTCCTGTCCTACATTTTATGTGGCGCTGGTCACGGTTTGAAAAGATTTGAAGTATCGAAGACGCTGACCGGGGGATGGCCGCACGCTTTCGCTTCTTCAACCGTTGTCAGCTGATCGGCCCAACGTTCAACCTAGCCTACATGAATTTATATCGCTATCATCCGTCCTTCCATGAATTTTGATACTCTCCTGTTTTCGTCTTAACTGTTTTGGATTTCCTCAGTACAATATGGCAGGTATGTTCTTAGTGTTATTGGTATAGCATCGGACTTATTCTCAGACCGATTCAGTGTATTATATAATAGCCTAAGGTTATTTCATAATGAACTATGGAGAAAGTTTTACTTTAGCCAATGATTTGACATGCTACTACGTTGGATATGTTGTGGAGCAGCACAAATTCAATAGGGCTGATCTTTGGAAAGGAAAATTCTTAGGCTTCCCCTTTTGTAACTCCTTTTTGCTGGTACACGCACATGGGGCGCTTCAAAGAAATGTCCATAGAAAAGCCTACGCTTGCCTCAAAATGTACATCAAGTACATACAAATGCTCACATGATAAATACTTAATTTTAATTTACTTTATTGTTATAACTTCACATACAACAAAGAGCCTTTGGAGATTACCTTTTACCTTCCTTTCTGGTTCATGATGAGCTCCATGATTTCTTGAGATGACTTGAAATGCCACAGAGGAAAATGTAGAATAAAATCATATAGTCTGTTCTTGGATGCTTTGAACGGGAGCATCATCGTCGCCTCCCCTTACTCCTCATGGAGCAAAAGGAGTTTGTCAATCATGAGTAGTTAGAGACATGTCCGAGCCTTGTTTATGTTTTTTTTTTCTCAGATTATCCCATCAGGAACTCCACCATTCAGATCTCCCTAGAATTGATATGTCCCTATCTCCAACATAGTTTCAGGCAGCCACTATCATACTAACTGCCCCATTGCCATTGAAAAGAGTCAAGAACATGAACAAATATGCAATGTTTAACCCATAGACCTGACTCTGACTTCAAGTGACCTGTGACCCACATTTCTCTGCATTCCTGGAACAAGTTCTTTCATTGATCCAGCATTGAAAATGTCATAGGAATATATATGTCATTATGTTCTGTTTCTATGATTATCATATTTATGATTATCAATTTAATGTATTGCATATAATTCACTACTTATGTTAAATTTGCTATGTTTGTTTTTTAAGATGAAGAAACTTAACCATGAAACATTAGAAAAACACAGGTGCATTTTTTCTTGTCCAAGTTTTTTCTCTGGACTTAATATGTTATATTTTATCCTGGCATTTTCTTGTTCATTAGTGTATGGGGATGCTTTAATCCAAAATTCCAGAATTAGACAAAAATTGTACTTTTTGTTCTGCAGCATTTTTTTACGAGTATTCTATCACATATGGTGCATAGTTGATCTTAAAGTTAAGATAGCCAGTCAGTAATATCTAATATAAAATGAAGGTATGCTTAAGTACTTTTATATGTCTCTAAACTCTACTGCAATTTCCTTATATAGGTAACTCTGTTTCATAAAAGTAAAAAAACAAAACTTTGCATCTCAGCTTGAGACACTGTATAATTTCAAGTTTTTTCACTTTGGGATAGAGTGATGCAAGTGTCTGGAAGTTCCATGTTTGTCATAAGCTCCTCTTTGAATCCCTAAGAGGAGTGTGGTAACTTTGAAAATATGGAAGTTGGAGAAAACTCAAATGAATGTTGGTACAGACTTTATCAGCCCTTGGAAAGTTTCTTCTGAAACTGACTCTGATATTTATACTGTTTTAATAATTAAAGTCAATTTTGGGACCATTCTTGGCTAATTTTTTATTTAGCTTTGCAGCTGCTATTACAGAATAACTTGCTTTTTAAAATCTACTAAAAGTTCAAAATCTACCATTTTTGACCATTCTGACAAGTATCCTAGTTCCATTCTCTGGGTGGTTCACAGAATCCAAGGAAGAAATGGCATGGCACAGAAAATATCACCAGCTTGATTTAAGTCAATGTGATATACTAGAATTAGCTTATCAGTCAATACTGCTATAAATAGGTTAAAATATCATGTAGTGCTGCAGATGCTGATATGATAGGATCCTTTCCTGACATAGGGAAGCGGAAATCCAGGCCTCCAAGGAAGGTGATCAACCCCACTGTAACCACCTCACCAGCATTGCTTGATGATGGGCCATGTACAAGAGAGACAAGTGTAAAGGAAGAAGTCACTACTCCTCAGAGATATGGAGACCCTGAATCAACAAGCCGTCTGCTTCAGTGCATCTCTCCTCACATCACTCAGCAGAATCATCAAATCACTGAATATTTTACTCCTAAGAAGGAAGAGAGGAGAAGTCCAGTGCCTATGGAACAAGAGTCAAGACTCAGACCAAATAAAACATACTTTGAAGATGAGGGGAAGGAAAACCAGCATCATCTCAATGGCCTTAGATTGCCTGAGCAAGGTAGGGTCCAAAGCTCTTAATAGACAATGAATATGTAATGGTCATGTCATGCTATTGGGACTCTTTGTAAGAAGGTGTCCTGTTACAGTGTCATCCAAATTGAGTTATTGCCAAGAGCTATCCAAAACACATGAAATATATTGTGAGCTTTGAATCTAACTATTCCTATCAGAGCAAAGGTGGCTAGTAAAGTGTCTTGTTAGTAAAGACATGGGATCAAGTGAACTACAGTGGATTTTGGACAATTCTTAACCTTTAAAGATAGTCTTAATGTGACCCCAATGACCTAAAGAATGACTTATTCAATTGAATGCTGTTCTTGAATGAATGAAGCTAAAGATAATAATAGAAACCCAAATAGAAGTCTGGATTCTATTTGTTTCAAATGCAGTTTGGCTGATATTCACATTGTTGTGGGTAGCATACATGGTATTGCTCACCCATCCCATAGCACTTACCTTTGCTGCTGATATTTGGAATGTTCGTCTGATTAAGGTTAATGAATTTGACACCACAAATTCGAGTATTTCTTCTCATTCTGGAATGGAACACCTTAATGGGTGCACTCAAATGAACTTTAGCATTCTACACACTAAGTTCATAAATAATTGTTTTTTTTTTTTTCAATTTCCCTGATGTAGCAAGATCAAGGTCTTTTCCCATAATTCTGAGACATGCCATTCATTTCTGTGATAAGTGTCTATAGGAGGTTAGAAGAAGAGCTGAGGGAATTTTTAAAATCATTTAGTCAATCATGATAATAGAACTCTTACCCTATAGTAAGTGACTTGTAGTGCTTTTCAATTTATTTATTTTTTAAAGGAATTTTCCCACTCAGTTCTTATTCCTATCCAGGGGCACTTCCTATGTATGAGTTTCATTACCAAATGAACAAATATCTGTCTCAAGTGACAAATACTATAAATTATAATTTTTTAATGTGGGCCTTTTCACTAATGAGGCTATTCTTCGGGTTAGGGGGAAAGTTAATGCATGCTTCTTCTACTTGGAAAGTGAAGCTTGGCCTTGAATTATGTTCTCAATGGCTCAGATATAACACTACAGTTACTGATATAGCTTGTACCCATTACATTGTCATATTTCTTGTATCATTTCAGATTCATTCAGGGACCCTGCCACCTCCTCAAGCAGAGTTCACTATCACCGTATTCAGAGTCCAGTGGAGGAGTTTGAATTGGAAAGTCATGTAAATCTCTCACCTGTATCTGGGATCTCAAAACTTCGTATTCGCCTGACTCCAAGGGGTGGTGCAAGAGTGGTGGGGCGGAAGCCTTCCTCCAGTCGTCCTCGTGCCAGAAAAAAGTAGTGAACATACCTTTTATTGTCCTTTGTTTTTCAATATGTCCTTCTTTAGAGTTGATGGGATCATGTGGTAATAGGTTATTGGACCAGGCTGAGAAAGGCAAGACTTTGGAAGCTTCCAAGATGCTCCCACTAACTGAATACTTCCCTGTACGGCGAAGCAACCGCAAAACCAAAGCCACTCTCCTCGAGGAGCAAAGGAGTTCCATTGAAGAGGCCATTGTTCTTCAAGCTGAAGAAGGATTGGAGGTTAGTGATTGAGTCATAATGAAACTTTTTGAAAAGATTCATAAAAGAAAAAAAAAAGTGACAAATGCAGAAGTTAGGAATGGATGAATTAGCATATTTGCAGAGTACACTCTTGCTGAATTCATCTCCTTTATTTCCTAGCAAGAAGAATCTGATGAGGTTTGACAGAACAAAGCAACCCTTGGCATGACTCAGCATTAGAACTCAAGCTCTTTGATTGGGATTTTTGCAGGAAATCTCTGAAATGAGCCAGCCTGTGCTTTAAGCAGCATATTGCAGAGATTTAGGTGAAGGGAAAAGTAAAATAAAAGCAGGGTGGGAGGGGAACGTCGAGGAAGTCCCGAAGTCCGAAGAGTCCACGAGAGTGGCCCGATTCTATCAACTGCCATTTGACAAGAAAGTTGAGGTATATTTGGAAAGTGAAAGTCATGTTTAAAAAATTAAAGTTTTGAATTAGTGAATCACCTCCAAAAAGACCTCTAAAAAATCAGGGAAATTGATTCTAAAATGCAGAATTTATGGGAATCTTGCATGTTAGTGTTAATCTAATGATCTGGGTACTAAGAGTTCAGAGTTGGACTGAAATCAAAGCAAAGTATGGCACTTAGATGTAGAAAGCAATATACTAAGATAAACACCCTACTCAAAATCATATTCATACTTGTTCTATGGTACCTGCTAAGATGGGAGAACAGAGAAAAAGAACAGAAACACAAGAAACAGATTCTGTATTTTTATTGGTTGCAAATTGTTCACAGATTAGGTGGAAAGTATGATTCCCTATTGCCATTGGTGGGAAGTGGGCTTCCCAACACAAGAATTTGTGTGGTGGGAAGTATAATTCTCATGGTCCACAAAAGGGTAAAAAAAAAAGGAAATAAGCAGGGACAAGAATGGAGTTTATTTTTCTCATATAAGAATATTAGCTATTTATACAGTATCAAATGCTCTGTGTCCTTGATACTGTTCAAAAGTTATAAATGAAAATAAAAAAATAAATTTTTTTTAGACTCAAAAGTGAGTGAAGCATAAGAATTTACATTCAGTGAAGTTTTATTCCTAACCTAGTTCATTTTGTTCCTTTTAAAGATTGCTCTATTGGTCTTGAACTTGAACACCAGCTGTTTCAAGTGCATACATGGAAGTTTCATTAACCCTCTGTATCCCATGCATAGGAAAAAATATATCCATTGACATAAACAACTCAAAAATACACAGTATATCTCCTCAGAACTTTATTTTAAAATTTTAAACTCTTTGTGCTGTTATAAAACAGATTTTTACATTTGTGTCACAATGGGCTGAAACAGTTCAAAATTGCAGAGATAAAATGAGTAGAAAAGTCATATAATGAGCAAATGTGTATGAGAGTAATAAGTTGTTAGGGAATCAAAGGAGTAGAAGTAAAAATAATTGCATATTGCATATGTGGGTGTGCCTTGAAGCTTACAATGGACCTCGGTGGTGTAACTATAGAACTCTTTGTAATTTAAAATATACCTGAACTACAGTTACTTTGAAGTTATGTTGGGTTGGCAGATGGCAGATGATAGTAGGTGCATCATGGCACCAGAATAACCAGTAAAATTCTCATTTGACTTTGTTGTCATAGCAGACAATCTTAGTCCTAAAGTGTTTAAATTCCTGCTGCCATGTCTACATACCATGATTTAATTTTTAAATGGGATGTCTTTGCCTGTGCACTGGTGTACAAAATTTATAAATACCAAGCACCCAACAAGTGTAATACTGTGTCAAAAACACAAAAGGTTAAGAAGGGGTGAAAAAGAAAAGGTTTTAGAAATTCTCTTTCACAACTTCCTGTCAGGCAATAGCCTGGAGCAAGGGGTTATCATTTCTTTATATCATCATGCTTTAATATTTCAACATTGGTAATGTTTTGCTGACTCTGCTTCATAAGTTGAACCTTAACATCAGATATCCTGACAGTTTCATCAATTTATACAATAGCATTACAATTTTACAAACAAGGTCAGAATAGAACAGAAAAGGGGGAAAAAAATTTTATCTTCTCTATTTCAGTTTCTTCTAAGTATTAGTTTTTAGCTCCATTTTTACCCTCCATATTTTCCTATTAATCTATTTGGTTTGGTTTCTTTCTGAAGTCCTTTTGTGAAGAAATGAGAATTAATAATGAAAATTATGTCATAGGTGGAGGAATTTACAGGAAAGGGTCGTGGTGTGGTAGCATCACGTGCCTTTGCCAAGGGTGATTATGTTGTCGAGTATGCTGGAGATCTCATCGATATGCAGGAGGCTGAGAAGAGGGAAGCCGAATATTCACGGGATACCTCCAAAGGCTGCTATATGTATTACTTCCAGCATAATGCTATGCAATTCTGGTAAGTAGCTTATGTAAAATGTCACATAAAATGCTGTGTAAGAAACAAACTTTTTTGTTAAGGATGGAGACAATTAAAGTACTTTCATAAATCAAGCCAATCAGAATAATTGGTTTGACTTATGAATAGTAATTTCATGTAAGCCTTCAAATGAATGGGAAAAGGTAAAATAATTATTTATATTATTGCAGATAACCTCCTCCAGGGATGTCATGCTCAGAAGGTTCTCGATCAACATTCAGTATAAGAAAGTACCTGTCCTCAGTTTTTACTCTCAGATTCTTGAAGAACAACATAAAAGTTGATGAATGTGGAACTAAACTAGGACTACTTTAGCCTGTGATCAATTCTGTAGATAATGAATGGGGTTAGAGCTGGATTTAAGAAACAATATTCAATCTTGAATTCATTTGTTGGTTCCAAATGGGTGTATGAGATGGTGACAGTGCATATGAATAGAATGTGTATCTGCATGCACAAATATCTATGATGAATAATGAATTTTATTTTTCCAGATTGACATACATTTTAATGAGCATGATTTAGCTTCCTTGATATCGGATTGCAATAATTCAAATAATGAAGTTTCCACTCCTTTATGCCAAGTGTATAAGTTCTGATGTTTTGCTCCTGTCTCATGTTCCTCAGTTGGAATGAAATTGCTAAGGAATTTCATGGAATAGTCAGAATTGAAAGAACCCACTTCAATAAGTTAGTTGAAGTCAGTAAAAGTGTGGATGCATTGAGTGAGGAAACAGCCTCAGTCGGTCAGAAATAAGTTTCAGCTGAGACTTGTTTATGTTTCAGTGTGGATGCAACCCAGGAATCGACCCGGGTTGGGCGACTGATCAACCACAGCCGACTGAAGGCAAACCTGGTCCCCAAGGCATATGTTGTGAAAGGAAAGCCTCATTTAGTGTTTGTGGCCAAACGAGACATATCACCAGGAGAGGAATTCCTTTATGACTATGGAGATCGAAGCAAGGAGAGCCTCAGGCATCATCCCTGGCTTGCTTACTGACACCAATACATCAGTACTATTTGTTTCTATTGAAGAAATTTCTTTTTTCTGTGTGATCTCATCCTATGCCTAATGCTGCATTCACAACAATTGGGAGTTTTTGAGTTGATGTTCAGTTTACAAGCATTTCTCTTCTCCTGTGCTTCCTCTTGTATCATTGATTCGTCTGATTTCATTTCCGTAAGGAAATAGGAAAAGCATGAATTTGAGACTATATTCCTTGGCCAACTGTCATTTCATTGCATCTGATTCAGTGCAAAGGCTTGTGTTGTTTCCAATTTTTGTGTGGATGTTGAATGCAAATCGTAATAACCCCCTTGAATGGCCTCTGAAATTGTGACAATTCTTGATTAACACTCAGAGACAGCTCCTTCATATTGGAGGTTTGAGCTGAGTCCCCTTGCCCAGCCTGGCCAAAGTCTCAAAATATGGAATTTTTCTTTTTTATCATTATTGCACTCGTTCTCCCATCTGGTTTCATCATGCATGTGTATGCTGCTGTTCCAAGATTTGGATCTGATTTTTTTTTTTTTTGCTGCATGTAATATCTTGTATCTCATAAAGTTGCCTTATTGCTCTTTTGTTAGCTTTTTCTTCTGCTATATCTTGGCCCAAAAATTCCAGGCCATTGAATAGCAAGTTAAGTTGAACTTTTACCTGGGACATGGCAGGCATAAATGCATTTGGCATTGAAGATAGATTGGTCACAGTTGTGTGGTGCATAATAAAGGCAAACCATAACGGACTGGGAATATGAGCCTGGCTGTAAAATGTAAGAGTAAGTCGAATGCCATTGAATTTGATGCTCATTTGCAAGTTGCAGGCATCTTTTTGAAGATGATGCAGTCATCCAATTTTTTTGTAAGGCTCCTTTCTTTGAAAGCGAATTGAGGCTGCCTGTGCAATCACTTGAATGATTGCGTGTATGTCAATACCATTGTTTCTCGTGGATGTTTCATTGCAGTCTGTTCCATGACCGTGAATGAGCATCTATAATGAACGCCGTAAAGCATTATTATATGGAGGGGTCTCCCCGACTTTGCCCCGCAGGCTAAATGTGACATTTTACAGCCATGTTTAGAATGTTCGATAAAAGAAAACCGTCTCGGAATTTCCCATGAGGTGGAATGCTGGGAGTAGATAAAGTATGTGATCTACGCGTTCCAATCCGCAACGTTCTTCGGTACTCAAGTTCAGAATTTTTTATTAGCGTCTCCGTTCTGCCCTAAAACCTAGCTCGGCTTTGCCGCTAGAGGATCGGCTTTCTGCTGAGCTCGAATCCGTTGTCCAGGATTGAGAACATCCGAAGACGTTCAAAGGCCTGCGTGGGACTCCATCAATTTGGGATAGGCTGCGGAAAATGCGTAGATAGGTGATCACCCGCTCCTGGCAGTCGCAAAAACAGTTTCCTTTGAGAGAACGAGCGGGGCTGAAACTCAAAATCCTGCTTATGACGCTTGGCTAAAGTGAGAGTGAGCATTGACCTACCCACGTTATTCATCTACAGTCCCTCGATTCGTGTTTTTATCGCAAAATATAAGGGGGAAAGGTACAAAGTTCCCATAAACCTAAACGTCGATCGTATCTCGGTGCTCAGCGACGTCATCGATCAAAACACGAACGTCTTGTGAAGAAAGATCCGGTAGTGTTCGTCATAGTCAAGAAGCTGCTGGGAGAGAACCGAGACGCTCCAGGGTACATGGAAAATTGCACCTAAGGGATGTAACAAGCATTGTCATCTGTTCGTTTCCTTCAAAAATATATGTACTTTAAAAAATTAAGGCTGAAACCTCTAGTTAACGGTCCTTTAACAAAGCATGGACTCCTATGGGAGCAAAATAGCTTTTTTAAAAGGCCGCTTCATCTCCCTAAATGAGATTTGTGCTTTCGGGCCTTATTCACCAAGAAAAAAAATTTCTCCGCGCAAGGAAATGTTCTCCAAATCCCGATGAGAATCGACTGTATGATAAATATTTAAAAATAATATATATATATTAAAGAGTTGCACAAAAGATGAGAATAGGGCCTTCGATTCACCCGCTTTTCGAATCGGGATTTCTCAGCGATTGTTCTTTTTATACCGACCAAGAGCTTGCTTCTCGGTCTGGACTTCGTGCGGACGTGACTCGTGGGGCAATCCACGAATCCACTCCAGCGAAACCGCGCCTTGCCCTTTCGTGCGGAGCACATGCAACTTTCTCGTGTGGAATCCACTCGTGGAAACGCAAAACGCTCGCCGAAACCACATTCGAAGGCAGGCTCATCTGATCTCTCCGAAACCCATTTCCTGCGAGCGTCCGAGAGCACTTTTGTTCTTTCGGGTACGAGCGCTGTACCGCTTCCGAAGTTTCCACCAACCTCGTCCAGAGTTAATAATGCTCTTGCTGCCGACCCGATCCGAAGCGAGAAATCTTCGTCTGCATGATGCTTCGCAACCGGCCCTTCCTCCGTCCGAGTGGAAGAAGCGAATTTCGCGAGCCACAGATGAGAGTTCCTCGCGGTCGCAGCGATGATTTCGCTCCCCCGACGAGAGGACGACACTTCGAATACCGGCTGAATGTAAGGTTGCGACATACCGTATTCGGAGGGATCATCGACACTCACGTTGCGGGCGACTCGTTGCTAGGCAATAAATAATCGGAAAGAAATCCCCGTGCACATCGGCGGGCTCAAAGTCGGAGAAGAGACAGCCGTCGGATGCGGGAGACGTGCGAAACGTGCCGTCCCCAAACCACCTTTTGGCATTTGCAATTCGGCAAGATTGCCTTCGCTTGGTGCATCCTCCATGTCGAAAGTTCGCAGGAAAAATTAACCCAAACGCCTCCATCGCATGAGAATCTAAAACTGGTTTCCGATTAGCGCAAGGTCATAGGAATGAAAGCGAGGATTTATTGAGCACACTGCAGCGTCATCTGACGTTGCAATGTTTCATTGCGAAAACGTTGCTATTCACCCTCGTAGATTCCGTCTTTCGACCTGTGAAGTTCGCTCTGGAAAGTCTGTGCAAGGTTCTTCCATTTGCGTCCAGGAATGTGGGCAAGTTCCCCCCCAGCTTTCGTATTAAACTAAGTGACTTCCTGGGGAAATAGCTGGATGGCAGTTTTTTCCCACAGGATGAGAGATATGATACAGGCGACAACGAATGCCAATATTTTCATTCTCGCTGTTGCCACGAATTAAGTCGATCGCGAAAAAGGACCGACCGCAATATTTTGTTCATGCGTATTGGAAGTGCTCATGGAGTTGAGGGTCTTCGTCGACATTCCGGGTGGCCCCCCCCCCCAAAAAAAAAAAACGTTCCGAACTTCGTGCGGCTGCAGACGGGACACCACGCTAAGCATCGTCTTGAAATGTTCAGTCATACCCAATATAGGTAGGTGGCTTTAGGAAAATTTCAATGAAATTCCTCGCTCTGAACACGAGTAAGAGCTCTTTCCGTACCAGTCGTCGAACGAGCAAGTGCGTCAGTGCATTTGCCGGCGGGATGCTTCTGCCCGCGATCCGAAGAGGACACATCCATGGAGGACCCATCAAGCAGTTCTTTCATCGAATTCAGGCCGCGTTCCTTTGCACACTTGCTCTTTTGACTTCGCTCGGGAGAAAAATTGTTACTCACGTAGTTTACAACCAATTTCGAGGAAAATTTTTTTTTACATGACCTGCAAACGTTGCACATAAAAGCCTGTAGATTTCCTGTCGATAACTCACCGTCTACAGGCGTGTAAAGTTCGGAACGTTTTTTTTGGGTCACCCGGTATTACCTCTAGATCCATGGTGTCCAATACGTTCGCCACTCGTCACATGCGGCGAATCGACCATCAGTTATAGTTTTTCTTTTTTCAAAAGATTGCGCATTATTTATTATTATTATTATTAATATTGCATATATTTTGCATCGTATGGAGAATATGGTGACCTGATCGCCACAAGTTTGGCGAGCATCGAAATCCTATTGGACACCAATGCTCTAGACCAGTAAATCGAGGAGAAATGGAAATCTCTCTGCTGCGACATCGAATGCCGCTTCTTTAGATTTAGAAGGGTCGAATCTCTGATGCCCTTTCCGAAACGCACTATTTCCCCATACTTCTCAGGGTCGAGGAGCAGTGCATGTGGGACTGACAGCGTTTCTAGATGGCCGACCGTATCTTCCCGAGTCAGATGGTGAGCCGACGGGATAGACTTATAGTACGTGTGGTGTATAGTATGCTGCATATGTAGAGTATCGTCGGGATATTTTATGGTGGTAGAATTCGGACGATGCGCCTTCAGGGAATCGGTAGAGAAAAGGAGACAGCACTCCTCTCGAAAGCACACCTTTTCGACGAGGCTGACATGGAGATCGTTGTCAGCTGATTCGCACCAGTTTTTTTTTTTTTTTTTTGGGGGGGGGGGGGGGGGGGGGGGGGGGAGCACGTGCTACCCCACATTTAAAAAAAAAAGCAGAAGTGAAAAGGAAAAGACGCATAAAATGCATGAGAGCAACGTCCCCGAGTTTCTTTGCCGCTCCACTTTCTCCTTTCACGCTACGCTTCTGCTATGACCTCTAGCCTGCTTTTATTGCAACAAGAGGAATGTTCCCGTGCCAACAACATGGAACTCGATCCGAACGAGTCCACAAGATGCAGTTCTGCTTCGCCAAATCTCCTCCTATTTATCATGATCTTCCCTTAGAAGGCCATATGTTGGCGAGAGACCTGCAGTCGCCTCTTGAGAGCGTGGATCACAAGACGAGCCCCGTTGAAGCGAAAACACCTGGGCGATCGTGACCGAGGCATCACGGCGAACGAGATGCTGAAATCCTTCGGAGCGCCTCGAGAGGATTTGCTTGCTGTTTGGTTCACGCACGTCCCCTAATGATGGAATACCCCTTGCCCGCCTGAGATATACTCGATGACTGTCGATCTCACTCGATCGAGCTGGTCCAAAAGCGATATTTGGGCTCCATCCTCGGAAGCAAATATGAATCGTAATAAGGGGGTTTATTTCCTTTATGAGATGCAGACAAAATCCGAGCAAACCGGAGTGACGTACAAGGTGAGCCAAAAATAACCGGATGGTTTTCAACGATACACTCTACTATACTCACTGCATATATCTTAATGCTGTTCGCGGCATTTGAAAGAGGAATGACCAAGAACTATAGTGGTGTACTTGCATTTCAAATATCTTCAACAGGTTCAGAAATTCGGAAGCTCAAATAAACAGGAAACAAAAACCTTTTTTTTGCAGCAGTGGGGATGGACAGGCAGCTGAAAATAACATGCCGTCTGCGTCCGAGTGTACGGCAACGCAGTTTTTCTTTCATCATATGAGCTCCCGAATTTCTAAAACCGTTGAAGATATTTGAAAAGTAAGTACACCATTTTAAGCTCATTTGTTCCTCTTTCAGATGTCGCAAAATGCAATAAAATATATGAAGTGAGTGAAGTGTAGTGTATCACACACACACACACGCAAGCTTATATTGCTTATATTGCATTCATTATCGATGCATAACTGCAGGACATCAGAAAGTTATCCTTGAGAGTAGGAATGTTCACCTTGAGCCTAGAATTTCGAGGTGAAAATATATCAATAGAGTAATATTCAGTATTTGAACTTTCGTGTATACCGGATACAATATGGTAGCTTATGTCACAAAACTGTACTTCATAAGCCAAAAGTCTGGAGAAGGAAATGACTCTTTTTCTCTTCTTTTCTCCTTGCAAAATTTAGGGTATTTTTTGGCAAAAATAAGTAAATGGTACGTCGGAGAACGTTTGTCAAACGAGGAGGATATATTCTTGAATGCAGGTGAAAATTTTCACCGTGCAATATTCAGCCGTTTGGCTGCTAGAGCGTAACAGACACACAGACGTACATGCGACGAAGAAAGCAATTTTCCGCGGAAGTCAATGCATTTTTTTTTTCTCTAATGTGCTATACGTCGAACCTTCGCTCGGTAAGGCTTCGGCTTACCTCTCTCTGGTTTGAACTGCAATCTCTGATGGCACTCGTAACGGGCAGCAGTAACGTGCGTCATTCATCCGTCGTATGCAGCATCAGTGAGACTCCACTCGAAGCATCGCCATCGATTTTGGAGGTCTCCGAAAAGAAGAGATTTCGGGATACCGGAGACGTTTAGGAGGCGGGCTACTAAAACGAGGAGTTACGGGAACTCAAATTCGAGCGAGGTGTTCACGCCCTGGGACTCTCTTCGCTGGAGAGGCTAGCGATGGAGATGACACTTCGCCCAGAGGATCGATGATGTGGACCGTTGTGAAGTGTTTCCATCTTGATGGTATCAGCAGGAAGAGGGGTACCCGTTCGAGTTACGTAAGCCGGTCGTCAAGAAAGATGTCAGATCTGTGCAACAAAATAAGAGAGCGGAGAGAAAGAAAAGGAAGGAAAATCCCACACTATGGTCCAAGTCACGCTGGTGAAAATTTCATGGTGTTATGTCTCTTCTTGTTATCCTGCATAAGATAACAAGAGTGTCTCGTGGTATAACTTCTTTGCTGCTGGAAAGCTGGTCTTCTTCGACGTGTGTTGTACCTGTGTCGGAGATCGCATATCGATGTCACTTTGTAGAGATAACGGTTCGGATAACAGGCTTTGTTCCAAATACGCATGGCTGCTACTTGCACTTGCTATGTCACCTCGGTTTCCAACAGCTGTGGGGTTGTGCGCATGATGTATGCCAGCCGTCGATGGATATAAGTTTTGTCAGCCGCATTGTACGGAAAGATCGGCTGTAACATTTTTTGAATAAGTACTCGATATGTAGATTGATGTTCATCTGATGATCGATGACTACTCACATGCTTGGTGGACTCACAGAGTGAAGATAGTTCCGTCTATGCTGACCGCGCCTCACATATCTCCCCAATAGCAGGGTTTTTCTACTTGAATGAAAGACCAGCTCTTGCGATTTTGTGGGGTTCAGAATAAGGCTGCGCTTCCTTGAACTAGAAGTTGCGGTTGACTAGGTTTTGATAATTAGCCATGTCCTGGGTGCTAGAGATCTCTGCTATGACATGAAAATAGGTAAGGGAAGGGCATTTCTTTCTCCACGAAACTGTACCGGCGGGACTTTGTATCATCGAGAATCCAGGAGAATCAACTAAGAAACCAGGAAATCGACTGTCAGAGATTTGACCGTGGGGAACTGCGGGTAAGTGAATGGGAAATTCAACCTTGATTATATATTTTACATTTAGATAAAAATCTAAAAGCTTCCATTCTAGTTTAATGCCTTTCATTTTATTATTGTCTTACCCAAATCAGGGTCACTCACCTACTAAATAAGCGAGTCTGGTTACTTAAGGTGACCAGATTTCTGTGTCGCAAAAGCGGGACACCTGATTAATACTTCTCATGCCTCCTGAAAAAGAAAAAGAACGTATTTGTTGCACTGGCAATGTACAGGGTGGGCCAAAAAAACCCGGACAGTTTTCAACAATACACTACTCTTCACGCACTGCACATATTTTAATGGGGTTTGGAGCAGCTGAAAGAGGAATGAATAAGCTGTAAAATGACGTATTTACCTTTCAAGTATCTTCAGCAGTTAAAAAAATTCGGGAGTTCATAGGAACCAAAAACAAAAACTGAGTTTCCGCGCTTTCAGAGGAAGACGGCATATGACTTTTAGTCATGAAGGCCGCCGCGTGTCCATCCCTGTCCTGTCTTGCGGCAATGCAACTTTTGCTCGGTGTTTATATGAGCTTCCGAATTTCTGAAACTGTTGATGATATTTGAAATGTAAATACACCATTGTAAAGCTTATCCATTCTTCTTTCAAATGCCGCAAACCCCATTCAAATATATGCAGTGAGTGCAGTATAATGTATCGTTGAAAACTGTCCTTTTTTTTTGGCCCACTCTGTATATAGGGTAAAGGCATCAGTTTGTGGACAAGTTAAGGAAATTTTCCTCCTGAAAATTCCATTACAGTCGCTGGGATAACCGAGAAACCGCTCGATTGGTTTCAATGGGAAGCCACTTATCATAGTTTGATTCCCATACCCTAAATAAAATATTAAAAATATACTTTTCCAACAATTGCGGTTTAAGTGGATATGTGTTGATTTTCACGTGGTTCCTATTTGTGGACGGCCTGGTTCCAGTTCGTGGACACCAGTTTTTTTTCAAAATAATTATGAACGTGCGTAGGCCGAATAGAAAAATATGGGCATGAGATATGTACAGCAGTTTTATTCATCTTCATTGATATCCTGTTAAGAAATAACAGAGGAAAATTAAGGAATTCAGGAGTGCTAGGTCTAAAACTAAGCGAAAATGTCCAAGTTCACTCATGCTGATGGGTATGCATAATTTATATGGTGACTGACAGGCATGTGCAAAACATGGAGCATTTGAGGAAATAAGTTTTCAGCGTGAATTTTGTGAAATGGCAAAAAAACACAAAACTGTCCACAAATTGGTGCCTCTATATTGTAGAAACATGAATTAGAACCGGTATTAAAACCCTTTAGTTCATTTGGGTACACGGGAATAGGTGGTCTGAATGTGGAACGTACGTCTGGTCACCTTAGGTTACTCCACTAATACTTTCCTCCCTAGGACGGAAAGGAATATTTCCTCTCTCCCTGACATCTAGTGAAACACATTAGAAGTATTGTTCTCTGTATTGGATGCCAGATGTAAGGAGTGGATGTCAACATTCAGGTCACCATTGGCAATGTAGAGAAGCGAATGGCATCACCGTACGTGTCCATGGTCTGCTGCGCTTTTCCTCCTTGCCTTTCCATATCCGCCTGTGCCTTTCTCATCGCCCATCCCGTTTCTCATATCATAAACATACTGTGTTATAGACCCCCTTTTAGGCTTCCTAATGCTAACCATTCAGGCAGAGAGGAGCTAGGAGGATACCCGGAACGAGCAACTCAGCTTGTAAGGCAACGTATTGGCGTAAACGTATGATAGTCTCTTAGGCCACTAGTGTCAAAACACTTGTGCTCAAAACGCTTCTTTTCGGATTGTATTCGTACCCCCTTTAACTTTGAACTGGAACTTGTGTGAGTGGAATTTTTGAAAATGTAATTTTGTGCTTCATTCAGAGAAACAAAAGGTGGCCTCTCTTTTCTCGAGAAAAATATGGCCAGTGGGGAAAGGACAGGGAAGTGAGTGGTCTTGTTAGTGCTTGTTGTCATATATGATGTGTTCCAGTAATAAGCATGAATGCCATTGCATCTTCCAGAAATATATTTTCCTCAGAATCAGGTGGTCGGGTGTGAAGCCTTTTTATGTTCAGTATCCAAGTTTAAGTGAACTCTGATTTGATGTTTGATTAGCTCATGTTGGCAGAAAGCATTCTTACAACAGTTATCAACAAGTGCCATGATTTCCTCAGGCCATATACTATGAAAAATGGTAATATGGTGGATTTCACTTTATTGGGCCATCGGTTAATGGGACCAGCCAGTTTATACGGCATTTTGTTAGGAACTGAATCGATAAAGTAACGAAAATCAAGGCAAATTGACCTGGAATCATAGTGTTGCAATAAAGCGGAATCCACTATATTCTCAACTCCAAAGTAAAGTTAATCGGAGCTCAATATGGACATTAAAAATTGATAGATTGATAGATTCACTCTGTCCAACCCTTTTTTTTTTGTTTTGGGAGGCCCAAGGGATGTGCAGAGATGTAAGGGACAACCTCAGTGTGGAAATATTTTGAAATGAGGAAGAGATGGCTCCTCTAGTTTTGTATTTCTTTCATTTCAAAAGATCCCTTAATTTCTGAAATTCTAGAAATGCATAATTCCATAGACTCACTGCTCTGCATCACCAAATTGAATGAGAATGATGCCCACATGCTTCTGGGCCCACAAATGGAAAAAAAATCTGGACTGGACTGTAGCAAAAATGGTGCAAAAGTAAATTGCAACATCCAAGCAGCATATAATTTTTGCGTGGGTAAGAAGAGGCATTTGGGAAGAGAATTTTCAAAGACCTGACAGACTTATTTATTTAGAGGAGACCAGCACTGCTCTGAGTATTCAACTCATCAGTATCAAACAGCCCAAAGAGATGCATGATCCATTTGTTGTCTTGATTTGAGTTGTGGGAGATTGCCAATGGAAATGAACACCCCCAGAAAAAGAATCACATTTCAAGCCTGCACAAGGAGATTGCTTACATTTAGTCTTGTACTCATAGAGAAAGGGCCTTGGTCTTGTATTTCAGAGAAAAAGGGCCATTTTGTGTCTAGCAACATTGCTTAAATCTGCTTTCCTTGAACCTCTTCACAAGGCTGAAAAGGAATGTGAACATTTTTCTTTTAACAAAAAATCAACATACGACAGTTTTTGGAATTATACATAGTAATTAATAAAATGTTGAAACCCCCATGACATGTCATTCCCTCTTGGGACCTTCTTGCACTGTCCAGTTTGAGAACTTTTGTCCTACCCCTTCCTGGAGAGTGGTTGAGATGTCCTTTCTCTTGTTTGCTTCTTGATTGCCTTGGTTGATGGCCTAGAAATCCAATAACCTCTTATTTGAATGGATAAACTTTAGCCTGGAGTAGTCTAGAGCAGGGGTGTCAAACTCGATTAGACCTTAGAGGTGGAAGCCTTATGGGGTGATTAGGGGCCACAATAAAAATCGAAAAACAAATCTTTAATGCAGACAGGCCGAAATTTGCAGAACGTAACCAATTGTTGAAAGGGACTTCGCAGGCCGGACAAAATGGCTGGCAGGCCAGATCCAGCCTGCGGGCCGCCAGTTTGACACCCCTGGTCTAGAGGATTTGATGCCCCATTCTCATGCATTCATTCAGTTCTAGGGCAAGTCATCATCATCATCATCAGCCCTTCTTGATCCACTGCAGGATAAAGGCCTCCCCAGGAAGCTTCCACATTCCCTGGTCATTGGCTGTTCATTTCCATGTTGGTCCAGTGAATTTCTTGATTTTGTCAATCCATCTTGTGTGGGGGCGTCATTTAGGTCTCTTCTTATCCCTTGGTATCCAGTTGAGGATTTCCATCACCCATTGCTGGTCTGTTCTTGCAATGTGGCCAGCCCACTGCCATTTGAGTTTTTTTTGTTCCTTCAATGATGTCGCTCACCTTCGTCTATGCTCAGACTCGTTCATTCCTTTTCCTGTCTCTTCTTGTGACTTGCATAATACACCTCTCCATGCTGCATTGAGTTGTCTGGAGTTTCTTTGTCATTTTTGCCATCAGTGTACATGTCTCACATCCATATGTGAGAACGAGGAGTGCACATTGATCAAATACTTTTTTTTTTGAGGCAGATAGGCAGGTCGCCCTTGAAGATCAATTTGAGACATCCAAAAGTTCTCCAACCCATCTTCACTCACTGTTATTTTCTCCTGCAATTCTGCTGTCTGAAGATATTTGCTGTTTTAAGTAGATAAGTTGTGCCCATGATAAATTCTTATTCTTATCAATAACAGGTATTGTCCTTAGAGGAAAAATCTAGTCAGTGTATGAAGACCAGTCAGAGGTGAGGAAACTGTGGATACCCCAGTCATAAAGCATGGCAGAAGGAGGGTTTGATCCTTGTGAATGCCTCTGGAACCATGAGATGGCCATGCGTCGTCTCATATCCCTTGTGAGTTTCTTTCTCTAGTCTTGTGCAAGTGAACCAGTAGGCAGTGGGAAGATGTGAACTTCATAGAAGTGACACTATCTGTAGGCATGCCAATCCCTGTATTTTGGTCAAACCCCTTAATAAGCCCTTTCTTCCTTTGCACCTTCCATCAGATCTAAAAAGTAATGCTCCTCGTGTGCTTTTGCTTTTGTCACTTCACATAGTCCAGTTAGGCACCATAACCTGCTAGTACCATCTTTCTTCCTGATTTTATTTTGGATATCAATGAGGTCAAATTTTTTGTGGATGGCAATTATTCTTTTTTTTCTTGACATGACTTGTTCCTTCATTGGTACCTCAATGGTATAATGATGAGATTTAGTCTTGGTATCAAACATTTGGTATGAGACAATGGTTTTTTCAGAACTTTGGATATCTTGCAATACCTTAAAAAAAAAAAGGGAATGGGGGGGGAGAAGGAGGAAAATCTAGGATACTAGATGTAAGTTGTATCTTGAAGCACCCCTTCTGTTTTTATTTTTACCACTTATTCCTAAGCACCAGGTACTTCTGTTCTTAGCTACTCCATGCAAAAATGAGAATTTTGTTATGAAGAATGCTATTGTTGGCATTTTTCAGTACTGCATTTTGTAGAAACTGTCTGAAGTATATCACTTTCAGTACCCTAGAAGAAAAGCATTGGATAGGAGAGAAGAACTTAACCCACTGAAATCTCCAGTCAATAATCTCCTTGGTTCCCATCTGTCTTTTTCAGTTGAGGCAATCCCAGACATACTGCACTGAGAATGAGTGCCTACAAGAAGGTAATTTCTTCTTTCCTCTTGTTCTAAAACAGGGGTGTGCAACCTTCATTGCAGTGGGCCACATGAAAATGTCTGACTCTTCACACAGGCTATGGAATGCAAATGGAAGGCCCTCTTTTGCCCTCAGGGCATATGAGGGAATAAGGTCGCTCAGATTGGTCAATAACCTTTACCTCTTCCTAACCCTAGGAAATTCCAACTCCCAAATATAGCCTTTGGCATTGAGAACTTCCTTGGGACATATGTAGCACCGTCCACTTGAGGAATAATTAGGGGAAGAAGGTGAAAAGACTCGCATTCACAGTCTATTTGTAGTTACTAAGGGATGACCAAAGTTATGATGGGGCCTTAGGCTGCAAGAAGCAGGTCCACAGGCCACATGCAGGCTGTGGGTTGCACATCTCTGTTCTAAAGCATCTTAATCTTGAATTTTAAGTTGTTTTGTTTGTAGGGGTTTTGTTAACTGTGTGGAATTTGGATTTTGTAGTACCTGGACCCTTGCCAAATACTGGGGAGCCAAATAGCTTCATCCTTCTTGCCCTGTGTTGGTTCCTGATTGCCTTTGCCCTCTACATCTTGCGTCCCTCCAGTCTCCGTCGTCAGGAAGGCACCAAACCTGGAGATCCTGGCCAGGTGAATTCATAACCTGCAGTTTAAACATGCTGATGATGGTATAATACACTGTGAGGCATGATGTTTCCTCATATGGAGTGTTCCAAAATAACATAACTTCTGTTTTTTTGCCAATATTTCCTTATAGTTATGCATAAATTGATAATAATCATCTAGCAGCTTAGAAGGATACCCATAGTATGTGCACATGCAGACAACAAAGCCAATTGAATGCATGTGGTAAAGGATAGCAAAACACTGCTGTGTAAGCTCCAGTGACATTTCCCATGTTGTGTTCATCTAAATCCTTTCATGCCTAGACAAAGACAAACATAATGGATAATGTGATGGTCTGTACCTTGGAAGTGATGTCTTACTCATGGGAAACTGTGCTGGATGTAGTATATAATGATATTGGATCTATACTTGCCATGCATTGTTCACATTTGAAACACAGGAATGGATTAACCTTACACTGGAAAGGCTGTCAGATCTTTAAAATTTGTTATTTCATCTCATGCTGAACCCAGCTGATATGCTTGTAACTCATGCTGAACCCAGCTGATATGCTTGTAACGTGAGTTGGTCAAAAAGTTCTAAGCCTGAGACACTTCCGGTTGCAATACACCTTTTTTACTTTTATCATGAAAAGACAGATATCTTTGATGGTGGCAGGCAAAGCTGAATCATATTTGTCAATTGAAGATAACTTCTGTTAATTTTTTTCAATGTGCTCCCTAAGGGTCTGCTGAAGGGGTATAAATAGTGACATGAATGCTGTGATGAATTTTCTAACTTCTTAGGAATTGATCTCTCAGCACCTAATTCTAGTGTTTGAGTGGCACAAACGATTTTTCCAGAGGGCCACTCATTCCTGTCTCCCATCTAGAACAAAAAAATCGCCTTCGCGAACACTGTTGGCGTGTGTTACCGTAGCTCCATCTGGAATTAAATGGGAGGGAGACGGCATGGAACAACGCCTTTTCAGTCAGATTCTAAGAGGAAACACATAGGGTTACCACCCGTTCATAATTGCTACGGACAGTACATATTTCAGATGCAATGCCCATACTGCAAACTTGTCTCAATATGGACACTGCTTTGTCCATACTTTGAACTCGAGATTTTTTAGTTAAGAAGCTTAATATTAAGCTTCAAGTTTCAGCCGCTTTTAAGCTTAATAATAAGCTTAATAGCGGCTGAAACCATTCTTTTATGCGAGTCAAGAGTAGTAGACCACACTCTTATATTATTGATTGGTGCCTTGGCTAAAGGTGGCTGTAGGTATTTACAGCAGAGCCACATATACAAGTGTACTTGGAATATTTGTCCATATTTCTTCATATCCATGGTCCATGTGCCCATATTTTGTTAATTTCAAAGGTGGCAACCCTAAAGCAGTAGGAGGAGCCATTGACCACGATAGTGCACATTCTGCAGCTTAACACGTGTAAAACGAAAGAGAAGGAGGAAACTAGGAAGCGTACCTCTTTCGGGGAAGGAAAGCATAGTGTTGGGTTCATGAGGACACCGGCGGGGATTGGAGATGACCTACGCCGTGGGACTACTAGGAAGAAGAGTGGAAGCGGGAACTTTGTTCCATGCGGCGCAGGCTCCATGACCAATCGATTCAAATATAAGATCTCTTCTCGAATGCTTTGCTTCTTGTTAATTATGGCAGTTAAGAGGGAGGGGAGGGGGAAGGCGGGGCAGTAGGTGGTGTGGAGTCAGAGTGAGGAGGTAGGATGGGGGAGGAGTGTTTCGTCCGAGTCTAACATTTTCCTGTGAAACCACCTTAATTATATGAATCAACTCTGGAAAGAGTTGGAGGACAGGAATTCTATGGTGGTCCACCGACGGTTTTTTTCAATGATCCTGAATCATCTCTGCTCATGACCAGCCATCATGGCAGACGCCTTCATGACTGCAAGTATAATAAATTTAAAGATCCTCTATTTTTCATCCCTCCATCTACACTGTGACTTGGAATTTTGAGGAAATTAAGTTGGAAATCCACTACTTCATTCAGATTTGGAATGAGGACATGACATCGCGACGGAATCGGTAAGGAGTCTTTCACTCGACGTAGTGCGACGGTCACCAACGCTCTTCCCTATCCACGTGGACTGGCCTTAGACGGATGTTGCTGGGAATGCTATGAATTTCTATAGATTGGCTCGAACGCGACCCGGAATGCAAAAAGTTTTTGGTTGCGTCGGTCGCCTAAATCTAATTGAATGCTCGCGCAATCGATGAGGCTCTGATTGTAGACCGCGCTGGCAACCGCCTGATCAACTGCATGGTGGTGCGTGGGTCTAGCATGCTATTCTGTTATAATACTACAAGAGCATGATCTATATCAGCAGTATTCAAAATGCGGCCCAATTTTTCACATTTTGCCGTTTTATCGGCACTCATGAATAATAGCGAGGAAAAATTTTTTAAATCCTAGATTTGGAATCCTTTGCTGTAAACTGGCTAGTTTAGTCATTAGTTACAATTAATACATGTACATGTTCATAATGTTTATAATATAATGATAATACATGTTTACAATTAGATGCATGTGTATATAGGTGTGCACCTGCTGAACTTGCCTGAAATTCAGAGCATCAATGTACTGCAGAGAAAAGTGTCTTACGTCGCAAGTAAATGGTGAAGTTTATGAGAAAAAGGAGTATTTATCGAAAATCCAACTTGTGACAAAGCAGCACCTAGAACCGATGCGTTAACACGAGCCCTGAGTAGTGGCAGTTTTTGTGCCTAAAAGAGTTGAAAGTATGTGTGGATGTGACAGGAATAGGCAGGTTTTTTCTTCCCATTTTAAGTAGCTTGACTAAGAGGTCGATGTGCAGATAAAGGGTTACCCATGCAGAAATGGTGGATCTTTTTTAACGCGGCTCATTCCAGGTTGGCAACAGTATAAGTGCGGCCCACTGAAGGTGGAGTAAAGTGTCCGTGAGATCCTCGCCTAAAAAATTTTGAGGACCACTGATCTATATGAACAGGTAAAAGAATTAGCTGAATCCGATATCAATATCCAAATGCAACGACATGAACTTGACGAGGGAATGCTGCTTTCCGGAAGACTGCAAAGAAATTCGCAGGCTGAAGGCTCCCCTAACTTCTTCACAACTTCCTAAATCTCTTAGGGGCGCGTTTAGGGATTCCCTAGCTAAGGGAAGAACATGAATACGGTACCCATAGGGGACCCTTATTTTCGAGCCTTTTCCATCATTGTCTTTTAGGGAACCCTTAGCTAGGGGTCCCCTAACTCTTAAGGGATCCATTAGCTAAGGGAGAGACGTGAATACGGCCCTAATTCCCAAACTTCTCCTTCCAATGTAAAGTGGAGGACATTCCCGAATAGAGCTACGAGGGTGGTACGGGTGGAATCATTCGACTTTCCGAACATTAGTTATGGGCATTGAAACAGTGACCCGTCTTTATGGGATGGATTACATGGCGCAAAAGGCGCCATCTCGCGTCGACCAAGGAAACACACACCTTTTGGCCTGGGCTATAAATTTGGGGAAAAGTATGACTACAACTATATACAACTGGGAGACACTCCTATCCACTTTGTACAGGTCGTGACATCATAATGGGACAAATATGAAAGCTCGCGTGTTACCAGTTTTACTTGGAATTTGCATCCCAAAAAATTAAGGAATAATAGTCTTCTCACATAATGAGACATGATTTATAGGATTTTCCACCTGTTCTGATGGAAAATTGAAGTTCCTCCTCTCCCTCTCGGAGTCCTTCGTTCCATCTGGAAAGTCTTGTCTACCCGAAGCGATGTGCCCCCAACATGCTGTGAATACCATTTTGAAGCAGAATTCAGGTATCCAAATGCGAGGAAATCCCAGGGGACGGAGCATCCTCCAGTCTCGCGTGACATTTACCTTCCCATCTAGGCTGACTCCCATCATCTGACATTTCAAATGCATTTCCAAAGGAGATGCGAAAAGCTGCCAGTTGGCAAATGCTTTTCCGAGGACGGCAGGGGTGGTATGAAAGTCAATGAATCTAGAGATCTTTAAAGTAGCAGTCCTAACAGTTCTGATAATTGAGTTGGTGGGGTTACCAGGTCTGTGGATATTGCGTAATAGGTAGGAAGACCAGGGGCCTGTGCTAAACTTAAATCTAAATCTAAATCTACATCTTAGGCCAAATCTTAGTCTAAAGGGTCAAGGCGAAGAATAGACAGCCTAAAAGCAAAATGTCTATTCTTCGCCTTTACCCTTTAGACTAAGATTTAGATTTAGATTTAAGCTTAGCACAGGCGAGGAACAGGCCCCTGGATTTGGCAAATGAGGACACCAATGTAATTTGACATGTAATTGGGAATAAGCATCAGTTACATAAGATTTATGATCCCTCGACACAACTGAAGCACCTTGGTCAGCTTTCTTGATAATGGAGGTATCAGAAGTAAAATATTTCAAAGCAAGCCAGCTCTGGTCAGGACAAATTGTTAAAATGGTATTTTTTATTGATAGCATTTTTTAGAGAGTGCAGCTTTTATAGTAGAGATAAGATTGTGAAGAACAGGGAAGTGTTCTGACAGAGGATAAAAATCAGATGGAGCATCAATTCTAGAAAAGTGTTATGACTAAGTGGTAAAGGGTAAACCATTCCTACAGGCAGAACAGGCAAGTGAGCTTGAAATGTTAGAATGGAATTTGATAAAAGTAAGTTTGACACAGATACAGGACAAAAAGTTAAACCTTTTGGTGGGCACAAATTTCAGCCTCATCTAGCCCTTACAGAAAAATCACCAGTGTGAGCAACCATGTGATTTTGGGACAGTGTGACCTAGTGTGCTCCATGTGATTGGGTCTTACAGGGTGCTTTCTCTTTATCAGTTCATGGTTATCTGTAACAGTAATGAATATTTTAAACAAAGGAAGGGTGGAGGATAATGCTATGAACATTCCTGAAGTAATATGGACTGCTGTCAAGGAACTTCCTCAGAGGTATCTATAATTATATGCATTTTTTTAAATCATCTTTTCCTGACAGAACCATCATAGCTTCTTCAAATTCTAATAAGAAAGCCAGCACACATCTGATTCTATTTCTGGTGTTTGTACAGATACACAACCCCCCATCAATCCAAATAGTTTTTAGTGTGACTTAGGGTGTAATGGGATGTGAGATGGTCAATCACATGCCTTAAACGACTAGGGGCATGTGAGACAGAATATCACATGGTAGATCACATGCCTCTCACATGTGACATAGCATGTGATTGAGGATGATTTTTCCATAAGGGAGGGAGTGTTTGAAAAGATTGACCATTGAATTTCCTGGGTAAGATGAAGGGAGGGGTTGATGGCAGAGATGCCTGTTACATTTGCAGTTTGTACTAGTGTTGGATGTTGGCAGGATGAGGGAAGTGAGAAGAAAGGTAAATCCAGAAATTTAAATTGATCTGCAAGAAGAAATGATAACACCTTGCGAAGAAAAGAAATGTACCAGATTTCTAATTTTGCAATGAATGGATAAGGCAGAATGTATGCTTTGTCGCATTTCTGATAAGAGTGGGAAAAGGTTTGTCAGAGCAATGGTGCTTCAAAGAATTGAGAAGAGATCTCCTGGAATGGAGTCTCTTCACATCATGAGCAAGGTAAGACTGGATAGAAAGCAAAAGGCTACACTGGAGGGAAGGGATGAGTGAGAGAGAGAGAGAGAGAGAGAGCGAGCTGATCAAGGGAACTTTTTTTTTTATGTATAGCAGGATTGAAAGAAAGGATGGGTGGATAGTGTCATAAAGAACATGAAGGAGAAACAGAAAATGCAGCTGGGTTTTGCTTAGGATATGGACAGTGTACTTGTAGATTTTGTAAAAATGGTGCACTTGATGCCAATCATCTGGATGAATCCATAAGATGAAAGAAATTTGAGGGAGATGAAGGCAGGTCAACTAATCCAAGGAAGAGTAGGCATAGTGAATGTTGATTAAGTTACAGGATGATTTACTAAATTTCTCCCAGGCTCTGTAAGTTTACATACTTACAAAATGAACCTTTTCGCTGCAAAAATCAACTTATACATGCATCACAATTATAATCAGATATCTTGTTTTCAAATGGTGAGAATGCCAGAAGCAAAGTAAAGCTGGCAGCTTTCAAAACAAGGATTCATTGAACACAACCATACCGTAAAGAAGTTCCACTGAAACCTAACTTGTGTACCTAGTTTGCATGTACAAAGGCAAGTCCTGGAACTTTTTGATAGGTCCTCATATGGTTGAGTTCAATTAATCCTTGTTTTGAAAGCTGTCAGCTTTACTTTGCTTCTTTTGTAAATTTACTTTTTTTTTTTCACTAGTGAGTTTTTTTTTTGTTTGTTGCAGGAATGGCATATGGCATTCCATGAAAGGAATAATGAGAAGCTATCTTAATCAACAAATTCTGAAATGGCTAGTTCTATAGAAGCTTTACCTATTAACTGAAGTCATGTATAAATGCTGGACACAATGGTTTAATTGATTTGGTAAGGTTCATATCCATTGTGACTTGTAACTGGATAAAGCAAATGGGTAACTCATACACATACTTTAGTTACATTTTTGAATTTCAAATGATTGAAACTCTTTTTGAATTATGCTGATGAATATTTGGTTTGTGCTGGTGAACTAGGGACCAAATAATGGGCGGCCACCAGCCCCACCACCACCAGTCTTGTAGGATAGGACCTGCTCAACAGCTGTTATCCTGACCAACAAGCATGGCCATGGTTTGTTATCTGTACCACGCATACATATACATGAAGAACAGAGTTGATTGATTATGTTTCCCTTGAAATTGTGATAAGTCTCTGATGTTTCATATTTCTTTTCAAATATTTCTTTTTCTTGTTTTCTCGCTTTGAAATCTCAAAAAAAAAAACAAAAAAAAACCAAGGTATGCAAGTTCTTTTCTCATAAGTACTGTAAAACCTTACCTATAGGCTACACCTATGAATGAATTCTCATCAAAATGGCATGTTAATATCTAGGTAACACCAAGAATGTTCATTAGTATGTGATAAATGAAGTTTGAAAATTGATATACACTTGCTTGATGTTGCCTACATACTTGCTTGTGTATTTTTTTGGCAGGAATTCATTGAGACTTTTATATTCCTAGAGGTGAGGTTTTACAGTAAGCTTGTTTGTTGGGTTTTTCGTCCTGTGTCTAGCCACATGGGTAACCCCTTGGTTGCATTCCACATTTTCCTCGTTTTTGTGAGTGCTTATTTGTGAGAGAAAAAAAAGTCACCTTTGACCCAATTTGAGTCTTGGTGGACATTTACTAAGAGATGCTAAATTTTATCATGTCCTGTTCCTTTTGTCAAGAATAAAATAACCATTGGTATTCAAAATAAGGATTTTCTACTTTTCAATGAAAAACAGTGTTCCTTTGTACCAATTGTAAAAAGGAATATTACTAAGAAGGGATCACAGGTCACTTATGAATGACTCCCATCTCCTTGCGAACATTCTTGAGGAGTTCTCGCATCCGGTCATATGTCCCTGTGGAGTCAGGGAGGTTCTCATATGGGAGGTGGTCGCTGATGTTGGACTGGAACTTTTCAGAACTTGGGAGCTGTTTAAGTCCACTGAGACTCTTGGGGATGAGAGCTCCAGCTGACAATGGTGTTGAGACTAGCTGACCCTCTGCCTTGGCAAGCTTGGTAGGTGGTGGACTTCTGAGTGCAGGCAACTCCTCTTTTCCCTCCTATTTTCAGGGAATGGATATGTTTATGAGCATGTTGATAAGAGAAAGAATTCTTTGTTTCAGTAACATTATGGGAAATTGATTTTTGGAGAGAATGCCATTTAGAATCCAACTGGAAAATTTTTCATGCATCCTTTAACTTTTGTCCCAATTAGGGATAGGAGGATTTGAGATTGATACTTTTAATTGACCATTATTTATTTAAAAATTTCAAGTAATTCAAATATAGATTTTTCTAAGACAAATATGAACAAATGGAAGTCAAATGTGACTAAGGAAGGTCAAATATGTCGCTTTGCTGTTTGGGTGTGTCAAGAACGACATAAGGAAAGTCAAATTCGACAGTTGTGAGACTTGAGGCCTTGTCTCTTGGTCGTGCTCCAAGAGATGCCCTCTCCGTGCATTTCCATAGAAAAAAAATTCAAATGTAATTTTGCAAGTGCATGTGGTCTCACTATTCCATTTACCATGCAGACAATGTTTGATTTCAATCCATGAGAGTGAAAACTGTAGGTCATATCCAATGGAATCCAAGATTCATGGAAAGAGATCAAACTTCTCATGCAATTCAAATATGAGACTCATGGTATGGATTCAAAGAGCTCCTAATCCCATCAGGATATCAAGTCATTGGGAAACTTAAATGAGAAGTTCAAATTGCATTCTGGACTATGAAGAGAAGTACATTTGCCATGAAGTTAACAGTTTGATTTTGAGAGTATCATAGTTTACATCACAATATCACTCAACTGTCACATTTGACTTTCTTATGTCGAACAAGCGTTCCCCTAAAGTCTGGCATCCAGCACAGCAACACATTTGACCTTCCTTATGTTGCTTTTGATGCTTCCAAACAGCACAGCGACACATTTGACTTTCTTATGTCCACATTTGTCTTAGAAATGCTATAATACAATTTCATGGTACTCAATACTACTATGATTTTTTTTTTCTCTAGCACAAAAGATACAGTGCCAATCTTATTTTCAAGTTACATGCATGCATCTCCCACTCAGCAGCACTTCACAAAAATAACTCAAACCTCAAAATTAAAAAATCATATTTTCTGTCAAACCAATTCCCTCATGGGATGGGAATTGGTTTTATTTTTATCTGGCACTCCCATAGGTACTATGGGGGAATGCTAGATATTGCAGTTGGGCTGTCACTTTTTTTTCTTTCATTCCATCTGTCTGCAGTAGCCATAGTGACAGGACAACATGACCCACTGTGCATGTGCAGCTTTCCAGCAGGGTCTGGGTGCCCATAGTATACAATGGGGGAGAGTGGCTGCTCCCTGCCACATAGACAGGGTTGTTATGCATACACTTGAAATGTGCATCTGGCATCCTACACATACTCTCCTCCCATCTTCACGCAACACTTGAATGAAAATCAGAGACAGTTGAGTTCACCCTCTGGTTGAATTGGAGTGGAATGGCACATTAGTAAATTTCCACAGATTGAGGCCATGGGGTATGGCTCCAGGTGGTGAACATCATAGTATATGTAATTCTGAACCATCCAAGAGAGTAAGCCCCTTTAATGCCAAAAGCTGAAAAATGAAAAAATTTCCAGTGCTCTTACACTTGTGCATGTGAGAAATTCCTCATTGAGTTCAGCAATGAGTTGCTGCTTGGCCAGCTCCAGGTCTGTGAGGGAAGGTGATAAACATCGGCTTCCCTGTAAAAGAAGCATTGGAACTTCCTCAGAAAAAATTTCATCATGTTTCATTCCAGGAAAGTAGTTAAAAATTTAACATACCCCAGGTTTCAAATCCTCCTTTTGAGCATCTGAATTCAAGGAGAGATGTGATTTGTTCATAAGGTCTGATATGATAATTTTTTCAACAAAGATATGGGATCATAATTTATCAAACCTTGAGATGAGGTCTCATCGTCAGATGAACAGAGATCCATGGGTAAGGAAGTGGCTTTCTTGCCAGCACTAAGATCTGGTGGGAGGCTTCGCTTGAGGATTGCTTTTTCCTCAGCTTCTCGGATGAAGCCTGACCAGTTCTTTTTCAAATTCATTGCCTGTTGTGGTGGGCAGTCATACTTGTGGCCCTCCTGCAATGACATGAAATTCAAATCATCTTCATGACATGAGGGAACAAATGGATATGCTGAACTTACTTCATGATAGCCTCGTGGCAGTCGCACATTAAAGCCAGGATATTCCACTATTTTGTCAAAGTCATACTCCAATTCTGGAGTTCTATGATCCTGCACCTCTCCTGTAATTTAGGCACAAGTATATGCTAATGAAATTAAAAGATCTTGTTTAAAAAATATAGACAGAGGTTTTCATATACAGTCAACTCTCAATAACTCGACGTTACTTCGATTCCCTTTGAAAGCCCCATAAGGACACAACTATCTATAGTTTATCATGAGGCTACCATGAGAATGCGCCAAACTCACCTGACTGACTTCTCAAACAAATACGCTAAAATGAGTTAGAGTTGCAAGCTTCGCAGAATTGTATTGCATGTACAACATTGTAGGGGCAGAGAATCCGAAAACCTCCATAACTCAAATTTTCGTTAACTCGAATTTCCCTTGAGCTTTGAGTTATTGAGAGTTGACTGTATATTCTAATTGAGGCATTATCTCCCAAGCACAAAAATATGACAAGTACAGAAATATAATACAAATTAAACAATTAACATATATACATTAGTGAAGAGAATCCATGGAATTCCAATGCTAGGGGTTTTGTTCTTTCTGAATTTAATCATAAAAGTACATGTAAAATGTGATTCTTGACCTACTTTGTTGTAGATCTATATTCTGGGCCATCAAGGATGGTCGGTTACAATTACAAACTGTCAAATAAGAAATAAGAGACGGGTGACTCACCTTCTTCTTGGCTCTCAATGAGACGGAGCCCGGATTTCTCAACCTTGGCCTCCTGGAGCCAGCCAGGGGGATACCCATGAATTCGCATCCTATAGATATACCCTGGCACCTGGTCCCTGCTCAGCCCAAGGGCTCGTCTCAATTTACTGCTGATCTTCCCAGGTTGCAGATGTGGATATTTAGAATGTTCTGCATCTGAATGGTACCTCCTAAATTGGAAGATGGACTTCCATTTAGCCTGTAGTAGCAAATTTTTATTTAATTATTTAAAGCTTCATTTTACTTTGAAAGCATGGTCGAACGGATGCGAAGAGCACGTCGCCCTTCTTCAATCTTTGCATGATTTCTTGGTCTCCGACAATCTTTCACAGCATGGTCCCCACCGCAATTGAAGCAAGGATTAAACTGCTGCTGTCTACGTTTCTTTGACTCGTCAATTTTCCCATCCACATCTTCTAGGTCCCTCTCCAGTGATAGGTCCTGATAGAAATGTGACTGAGTTTCTTAGATGAACAATCTATATCACTTTGATCAGAAACACTATTACCAGTGCATATTGTGGGGAATTTTTCTGATGTTTCTTTGCCTCTTGGGAGGAAATAGAGGGTGATGGGTCAATGACAAATGAATTTCTGGAACATGGACCCAGAGATGACTGAGATGAACTTTGGGATGGAGAGTCTTGGCACTCAGTTGATGGAGAAGGTACTTCAAATGAAATTTCTTTGGTCCTGAAAGACATCAAAACCATTACAATCAAAATTTGAATTTAATGGATGTTTGTATAGGTATGCCTATAATTGCTGTGATCTGTTATCAGCTAGTACTGTACCTTGTCTTTATTTGCAAAGTGGTTAATGCAATATAATGATTTAATAAAAAATACAATCTAGGGGAGATAGAAAGTTAAGTGAGAAAATGAAAAACCAGAATTTCCATCAATCCATTCAATGAAGCGAAACCCCGATTGCAAGAAACATCAGGGAAATAGGCCTACCGTGAAAGTGAGCCTGTAGATATGCACGAGGAGCTAATAACATCATGACCATTATTTTGAGCCAAATTGCTTCCAATTCTGCTTTGAGTTTGTCCATTAGAAGCTTCAGGGTCCACAGAATCCACTCTTCCAAGAGGAGAATTGTAACTGAGTTGGCCTATGTCAATGGGGGCATTGTTGGAAGACACACTCAGGTCCACCTGGCCTTCGTATGTGCTCAAAAAGATGAAATCTTGAGAGTCTGCGCTATTTGTGGGCTTTGGCTTCTGACGATCCGGAAAGCAAACTTCATCCAGGGATTCTGGTATCTGCTTCCTGTCATCTCTGCCACTATCATCCTCTATGATCTATATGAATAAACAAGTATATTGTCCAATGATAGGTTTACATATAGCTTACAGTAGCACAACTAATAATGAGAAACAGAGAGGGAGAGAAAATTAGATGGTTTCATGTTGGGCAGCGTGTTTTTGCATTTACACACCCTATTTACATGGACTCCATGCAATTCTATGGCCCCTTCAGTCAAATTGCGCTGCACAAAATGGATGTTGTTCCACATACGTCACTATCTACATCTTGCCACTTTTTCATGGTGGCACTCAATGAGTATTCCATTCACCATCACCAAAAGCTGGGGGGATGAGGAAAAAGGCAGGCTAAAAACATTTAGAAAAACACTTCACTATACTGCTTTCCCCTCCCATTACTAGTTCTCTATTCCTTTCCACCCATGCCTTCCAAAAATGAAACACATTAATCTTCAACTTCTCCACCCCTCCCCATTGCTCCTACCTTTACTGGAAATATTGGTACAGCCAAGCTGCAGGATAGAGAATAAAGGTCTACTGTATCCAGTGAGTCACAATAGCACACTTAGGGAGAATTGCCATGTAAAAAAATAGCAAGGAACATTCAAGAAGTTATCATCAAAACTCATTTATTAATTTTCAATATAGGAAATAAACAATTCTCACTTCTCAACAAGATATTCTTCTTTGCTTCACAATCTTCACAATGCTTCAGCCAGTCTTGAAAGGCTTCTGTGAAGGAATTCTTCAGAATCACATTTAATCCACTGGTAAACAGCCAATCCCAGAACTAACTTGGATATTTTGTGCTACAGAGCTGATTTTTAGGCAAGGGAATATGCTTAAATTGCTGGGAGAAAAATCTGTAGAATAAGGGGCACTAGGCAACAGTTTGATGCCTTTTTCCTCATGAACAATGCCAGCATGATGAGGGGGTGCATTGACATAGTGTAGCAAGTAGGAGTTACCTGCCCATTCTGGTTGCTCTCTTGCAATTGCCGACAGGAGCTCGTGAATGATATCTAGGTAAGCCTTCCCAGTGACTGGAGTCATTTATGGCATGGCATCTGTTACAAGGATGTATTTCATTTACCAAAACTTTACCAATATCTTTGTCTGCCAATGAGACCAACTTGAATACTTTTGAAGGAAGTGAGCGTCAGTGCTGCTATTGAGGTGTATCAGATTTGGTGCATGTGCTGTTTAGAGGTACCCTGGTTTTGCCCATCACTATGATCCTAGTCCTCAGTGAAAAGAATCCACAAACTTGAAACAGAAATTCACTTGCCTAACCATTCGCTCTGCTGAGAGATGCCTTGAAACTCATGGAGATGAAATCTTACAATGCAAAGTTTGTCAATCAGAATTTCATAAACAGATCCCACAGAAAAGAAACAATGTTTCATTATTTCCTTGATTGATTCCTTTATTTCTCTAACAATGCCAGCTACTGGGTCATAAATACTTTCATATCAGTGCTTCACTTTCTTTCACCCATCTTATGGTGGACTCTGATAGGCAAGTATCCTCACAAATTTCTCTAAAATGGTAATGAAAGTCAGCCACTTTCCCCCCTTATGAAGTTAAAAAATTAATAATTCTCAGTTCAGCTTCAGAAAATGATCAGTGCTCAAAACAAACTGAATGAATTGTGCTAATGCTGGAAATTTATAGTCTAATATTTAGTCTAGTCATCTAATATTTCTCTGCTTACTTATGACCCACCTCTTAACATAGCAGAGTTATTCCAGATGTTCTCTCCCCAAGTAAGTCTCTGGTAAAACTTTTTAAAAGAAAAAAATAATATTTCAGATATATTCAAAATTCACCATTGCTGGTAAATAGATAGCCAACCATTAAAAGAACCTCATACTCTGTTTCTGTTAGACTGTTAAACGTCCACTCTGTAGTGGGGGCTTTTTTGGTGAGTTATGTATTGGTGTTTGTGTAAAATAATTTACTTCTCTTTTGAGAGCAATAGATTGCTATTTAAGAGGTTAATATCAATTTCCAACCTTTAAATTAAGTTCATATTTAACTCAAACTAAAAAAAACTGCATGACTTATATATATGTCAAACCCATCAAGGAAGTATTTCACCATGATGGATAAATATGGCATACCCACATGAGAGGTTAATAAAGAACTATTGATATTGAGCATGAGGAGAGAGACTGGGATATTGAGATAAGGGATTGGTCATTTTGTTTTCGCTTGGGAGTATGTATATTTCTTTTGAAATTGTATTCTTTTATTAATTTCCAGAAGTAGTTCAAACTGATGTTTACTCACTGAATACAGGAGCTAGTGATAGCATGAACAGATTAAGGCTAAATTTTAGAATAATTACTTAGGTCCAATTCAAAGCAAGCCTGCAACTGCAAAAAGTTGAAAATTGGCACAACTTTGACATTTAAAATTTGGGTATAATTTCTTAAACCCTTCAGGATATAACTCCTACCATAAGACAACTCATAAGATCTTGCAAAGCTTCTGAGCTACCACACTTTTAAAGATGGAGTTCAATAACTGGAAAAATACGAAATTTCATATTTTCAAAGGCCCATATCTTGGGAACTCAACCATGTGAAAAAATTCAATCCCGTTGAATTCCGGGATTCATCATATTTCATGTTACGATATTCCCAAAATTGAATCACAAGTTGGCCTCTCCTTTTGTTTGTAGGTTTGTTGTCAAATGACGTACTTTATTTATTCTCCCTCAAAACCCTTTAACCAGAAGATAGGGATATAAATATCTAGCCTCATGTAAATGCACTTCGGTCATTCTGGGCAGTGCACAACATAAGCTTCTTCCAGGAACTTTAATGCATTTGATACTGGTGCCTGTTTCTTCAGGTTCGATGCTGCTTAGGCTTTTTTATTAGTTTTTTCTCGAACGGTCTTATACTTCGCCTTGTGCGTACTGTTACTTCTATTCTGCTTCTTCCAAATAAAAACAGGCGAGTTGACTTAGGCATATAAAGAGACAACACAGCCTACATGAATGGATCCATCTGAGTCAGAATGAAGAATCTTCACACTGTCAGAGTCGGAGGTGGAGTCTAGGACAATGACATCCTCGGTCCTGAAGGCAGGCGCGTTTCGATCGCCTTCTTCGTCCACGAAAAATGTGACAGAAGCTTCTTCCTTCTTTGAACTCATGGTAGTCACGCACTTGTGCAACGCCATCTTGCCACAACTGACACCTAGCAGGATGAAATTGCAACGACTCTGTACAGTAGCTAGAGAATAGGTGTCGCTAGCGTTGCCATGGTAACGGTGGCCAGTTTGTGACGTCACGGAGTTTTATGGCCGACACCGAGGGAGGCATATCGGTGGAGTGAACTGTAGACCTTAAACCGATAAAGGCGATAAGTACTCGGTGTTTGCTCCATAGTCCTTGGTGAAGATGTGGTGAAGCTAGCATTTGATAAGTCTGTGATTCACACCTTTTTTTTGTCATTTACTTTTCTCCCATCTCCTACCTCCGTCCTGATCAGGGGGAAATCAATGGCCGAAGACAAGCTTAACATTGACAGTATCATCGCCCGTCTCTTGGAAGGTGCGTTTACCAGTAGGCTTAGCTTAGGCCTACGTTTGGTTGAATTGTGTCATCATTATTATTCTTTTAAGCTTTGGCCTTCAACGGGTGAGCCCATGAATGACCAAGAAATTAGACTTGTGCGGTCGTAGCTAGGTCGGTCCGTTGCAGGCGAAGATAATAGGTACACGTAATTTTAAAATTGAATTCTTCCCCCCCCCCCCCCTCTCAAGGAGCGCTCCCCTCGATTGCAGGTAGCGAAAACTGTTTGGTAATTTCACGTATCTTCTGATGTAGTGGATCCACAGGAAATAGTGCTTTATATGGCCTTCAGCACTCCATGGGGGGTGAAGTAGTGAAGCTGTTATGAATTCAGTCTGATCCATGTAAGCCATCTGCATTGAGAGCATTTGGCTGTCCATGGCTTATATTACAGTGTTTCCCATTGACTTTTGTACTTGCTGCATAATGTTTAGTACTCCCTCCTTCCACCCAGTGAGCAAGTGCCACTCCGAATGACATGTCCATCTGACAACCCTTGGAGAGAGCCTGTCTCTAGCCTGTCGATAGCCCTAAGAATGGATGAATATGAAGCACCCAGATTCACTGATTACTCTGAAGTATGCCTTGAAAAAGACCTGTAAGTAAATGGAAAAGGAGTTCTGCATGTAGGAAATCTTATTGATTAAATACCAAATAATATGTGTCAGAAGTGGTTTATTGCCAGGGCGCCATAATGACCAAGTGTGAAACTGATTAATACCTTCCTTTGGAGGGTCTGTAATACAGCCGTTGCTTCAAGGGTCCCTGACATGGTTCCATCAGAGTTGCCAGGTGGTCTTACCATTCTGAGCAACATTGGAGGAGAGCAGGGGGTATGAAACATTATGCAACACGTGTGATTCATTTTGAGGGAGATGTGGAGTATTTTGCCGCGAGTGCCTATCATTTTGCAGGACATGTGGAACTAACAGGAACACTATATGTGGCTCAACAGTTTCTGTTGAAATGCCAGAATAGGATGAAGTGCAACTTCTTATTCAAGTCAGGGGTTGCACTAAGTTTCTTGCCCTGTCCTCTTGCCCATGCATCCCTGGGGTCCTGGGACACACAGGCAGAAGGCCTAAGACTGCTGGGTTGAATATTATACTGCTTGGTTATGTTAAGTTGGCAAATAAACATGGATTGCTGGACTTTTACTTTTGGGGAATCTTTCAAGATTCCCTCATTCTTCACTTGGAAAGTAACCCCCTTAATTATCAGGGGACCCTTCCATATCAAATCTGAGGGTCCTAAGGCAAGAAACTTAGTGCAACCCCTGCAAGTGTTAATTATTTTTAGGCAACATTTGATATGTTTGTTACTGGCTTTATAGATGATTACCTGGTTCTTGCATCTGTAACTCCTAAAGTTGATTCTTCTTGGATTACCATTTTTATTAGAATACAATGTGAAAATTAGTTTTGAAAGCCTTGATTTAAAAAAAAAAAAGCCAGACATGTAATCAAGTATGAGGTTCATCATGGGTTGCACTAATTAATTTCCTTGCCTTTGTGGTCTCCAGGACCCTCAGATGTGAGATGGGAAGAAGCCTATGCTAATTTAGGGCATCCTGTTGCAAGTGAAGTGCAAAGAATCCAGAAAAGTTATACAGACGTACACGTCAAGCTGTCCATTTTTGTTTGCCAACTTAACATAACCAAACAGCATAATATTCAATCCTGAAGGCCTAGGTCCAGGGAGACTTTCCCATTCCTGTGCACCATTAGCACAACAGAAACATGGCCTTTGTTAGGGCCTCAGTTCGGTCATTCCTACCCTCTTAACTGTGACTCTATGCCTGTTCTGCTTACAGTTAACCAAATGTGTCCGGTTAACTGAGCGCGAGTAGTCACTTGGAGTCTCAATTGATTGGGATTCCTATTATATATAATACACACCACACCCACCCCCCTAACCTAACCTGGCCTAACTTATGGAGAAACACAATATCCCATGGGGGTACAGTCACCTGGGCAACCCTATGCACTACGTACAGTTAACTGTGTCCAATGAACAACTGTAAGTGGAATAGGGCTATATTAAGGAATATCTGAATGCATGTTTACATGAGATCTGAAGGAACTGGCATCATAAGTTTCTTGCTTGGAATAATAAAAGTATAGGGTCTGATCTGTCTAAGGCCATGTTTCTAGGAAGCATGTATTCATGACTGCTTTGGACACAATTTGTTTATGCCTTACTCATCACAGTCACACTCTAATACTATTCTCTGTCTCCATTTCCTTGAAATGAAGTGTGTTTTATAAGGTCCTGCTGACCCACTAAATTTCATGAGGAACCAATTCTAGTACAATTCTAGGAATCAAATGAAAAAGTGTGTACTACCCCTTATTGGTAACACTTTTCTTGGTTTCCTGGAGACACCTAGCCTGATTCACCAAGCTTTTCCATGGCAATAGAGTAAATATTGTCCAGGTATTAAACCAAAGCATCCCTTCAATATTAAGATATCTCCTGCCACGAGAACTCCCCGTAACTCTTTTTATACTGTTGGCATTTTTGCTATTTGAACATTCCTAATGGGGATGGAAATATTTAGTTCTATGCATCATTACTTTGAAAAATGCATTAGCGTAGCACAGCCACAATTTGTTTTTCTCACATTATCCACATGCATGTTCAGTTACCTTACATGTCTATATTTCGCACTGCTAGAAGAAACTCTCAAATCAGTGAAAGTTTTTTTGAATTAACCCATCGGTTTATTTATTTCTGAAATAGATTGGTTTTCTTGTCATTTGATAGCTCAGAACATCAGCTTTAAGGTGATATACAACATGTGCTGCTATTTCTTAGAGAAATATGTAAACTTCTTAAAGAAACAAGTAGCTGGCTATGACCAGCAGCTTGCCAGTCTTGTGAGAATGGGTTTTGCTATTGTCGCTGGCAAATCACAGGCTTCCAGAGCCAAAGTGTTATTCCTGGGATTTTAATTAGTCATATTTAATAATTGCTTAATCAAACATTAATTAGCTCATGAATTCTTGTCTGAAGAAGGGGAAAGACACATAATTTTGAATGACATGAGAACATTATGTATATTGTTATGTCATCTGATTCTATCCAATTCATCTGCAGTTCAGTTCTCAGATGCCTCATTGGCACTCATTCCAGGAGTAATTCCATCACCTAATCCCCCAATGAAGAAGACTTGGGTATCTCTTTATGGCTGTTATCAATTAACCAAATCCTTGATTGCTTATAAATTGACTAATAAAACTGGGAGCATGAGGAGAAATCATTGGTATTATAACTCAATGTTTCATGAAGATCCATGCTCTAATAATGGGATTAATGTCTAATATGGATGTTGATATTTTTCACTGGTTTTCATAAGTCAACTTTAAAAGTTTTGTAGGATTGGGCTCCTTTGTCCAGGAAATGGCAAAATCCTAAGCTTGTGTCTCTGCGGTATCTATAGGCCTACATCAGATCATAGTCAGTCCTATTGTAAACTTGTATTATTTTGTTTCAAAATGAATAAATATAGAATAAATATCAAATGGTATGAATATCTGTTATCAGTATTGGTATTTTAATATTAGTTTATTGGCAAATCAGGATGTTCTTCAGAACATGCATAGATATTTTTGAATCGACCAGATTATCTTTCAAGTTCACAAATAATTTTAAAAGCATTCCAAGGGAGCAACTGGAATACTTGAGACAGATTGAGGTCAAGTGAAAAAAAAAAAAACCATAATGGGTATTGTGGGAAGGTCATCAGGGAAAGAGGTAAAGGTGAGGTTTGAGACTTTCTGATGGGATACAATAATGGGAGAAATGAACTCATGCATCATGCCTTGGTGTGAGAGACTGTATTAAAATTGAATTTTCCCACCTCTGTCTGGGTGAGCATCACAAATGGACAGCTCTGTTTGTAGTTCTAGAGGAATAGTCAAGGATAAATTACCTATGATCTTCATTGACTCATTTTGAACATTTTTCTCTTTTAAGTTCGGGGATCAAGGCCAGGTCGCAATGTGAATCTGACAGAGCAAGAGATTCGTGCTCTATGCCTGAAGTCTCGGGAGATTTTCCTCTCTCAGCCAATATTATTGGAACTGGAAGCTCCTCTCAAGATTTGTGGTAAGTGTTCAAAATAAGGCTAGACCTAGGCATGCTTTTCAAAATGCACATTTGAAAATTTCCTTCACAGTAGTTGCTCATTATCAGGGCAATAGTATCCTGGAAAAATCTGTGGAATGAACCCCTCTCCCTTGCAACTTCCCACATTCAAAGGTCACAGCCTTGCTTATGCAGAAACTCCAAATTTGGCACAATTCCTTTCTACCCTAATGCCTCTAAGACAGTGGTTCTCAACCTTCCTTTTACTCCCATTGAACCTTCATGCATTCGGGGGTGACACCTCCCAGGTTGAGAACCACTGCTCTAAGAGGTTTCACATAGAATGGTCCAATACCTTCAAAAGTCTGGAAGTATATAATTGAAGGTGTTCTTCATCTGACAACCAGACATGCAGACCAGCTTGGAGCAAAAATTTCAAAACGGATTTCAATGAAGCAGATACTGATGGACTTGGTTCACTTTGATATTGGAGATGAGAGCTGTTCCCTTATCAGGAATATGTCACAGTTGCATTATCTGGAAACTGCTTCACACAAAAGCAATTTGGTATAGAACAGTTCCCCCTAAAACAGATCAATAGTTTGTGGTTATCACCCCCCTGTCAAGTGGCCCAGTAATGGATTGTAGCCTTTTTCATTTTCCTTGCCATTAAAGGAAACCAGTTTAGGTTTTCTTTATAGGTTTCCATTTTGAAACACCTTGAAAGCTTCAGTAAGTGGACTGCTGTTTCCAGGGACTTAGCTTATGGAAAAGGGTATCCTAGGCCTAGTAAAAATTCACATTCAATACAGTTCAGTATGTCTTGTGAGTTTTTGTTCTAGTGATAGAAATTAAGAAAACCTTGGGAATAACTAATTTCAGGAGACACCCATGGCCAGTACTATGATCTGCTGCGGCTTTTCGAGTATGGTGGATTTCCTCCTGAGTCCAATTATCTTTTCCTTGGGGATTATGTGGACAGAGGGAAACAGAGTCTGGAAACAATCTGTCTCCTGTTCGCCTACAAGATCAAATATCCTGAGAACTTCTTTCTCCTACGTGGTAACCATGAGTGTGCCAGTATAAATCGAATATATGGATTCTACGATGAATGCAAGTTCCAGTGTACCTTATCTCAGATATAGCTTGTTTCTTCTTGTCATTTTCATATTGCTTCCTCTTGTGCAGGTAAGAGAAGATATAACATCAAAATTTGGAAGACATTCACTGACTGCTTCAACTGCCTTCCGGTGGCAGCCATTGTTGATGAGAAGATCTTTTGCTGCCATGGGGGGCTGAGCCCAGATCTTCAGTCGATGGAGCAGATCCGACGAATCATGAGACCTACGGATGTCCCCGATCAGGGTCTCCTTTGTGACCTCCTCTGGTCTGACCCTGACAAGGTACATCAATCTTCACCTAACATTTTTTCCTTTATGTTAATGGCCATCTATGCTTTTTCTCCTGATAATCATTAGAATTTGCTATGCTCTTGTCTCCCTGCAGAAATTCTGGACCACCATCTTTTGAACAGGAGCTTAGCTAATGGTCTTTTCAATTATTTGCAGGACACAATGGGATGGGGAGAAAATGATCGAGGTGTCAGCTTCACTTTTGGTCCTGATGTGGTTGCCAAGTTCTTACAAAAGCATGACTTTGACCTCATCTGCCGTGCGCACCAGGTAGACCTGAGCTGAAATTTTCTCCTCAATACTAAATAGTGTTTTCCAAGTGTCACCTTGAGCTGGATACACCCTTCCAAAACAATCCTTTATGAAGTACATAATTTTTTCTCATGCCTGGCATTATTTTGAAGGTTCCTTGTTATTTAAGCCTGTGTCCTCAAATCAATCAACAGTGCCAATCCAGATATCATCAAAGAATCTGCTCTATGATGGTCACTCCATTAAGAATGAATAAGAAAAGAGAGGATGATGGGGGGTTTTCTTTCCAGCAGATCAGGCAAGGTTTTCTTGCCTGCTGTGTGCTGGGGCCTTTGGGGTTCAACATAGGTTCCCACAGGAGTCATGAAACAGAGCCCATATATATTTCCAGTGGGCAAACCCCTCCGCCCTCCGAAAGTCCCCATGCATATAGCAACCATTGATTGGTAAAATGAAGCCAATTCTTGTTTAACTTATCAAATCAATGAACTTTAAAAGACTTCAAATTGTTTGTATTTGCCATATTTGGAGATTAATAAACTACTATCTTTATTTGCCATAGTCTAGTGTAGGACTTCCTCTGGTGTGAGAGGCTCAAAAAACCATATTAAGTGTGCATCATTGATTATTACAATATTTTTTGGAGTTTAGAGAAGTGCCTATGCTTGCACCATTCACATTTGGTTCCTCATGGAAACCTCTGGCATAGATGAAACAGGTTAAAAGATATGATTCTGTTCACAGCTGAAGCTGAAACTTGAGTTAGTGCCTACTGTTATGCATGTTAGCATATAGGATTTTCTCCCAGGTTTTCATGATGATTCCTTTGTATTTGCTACTCTTGATGTATTGAATGATGAAATCTCAAGACCACTCTGATTCTCCTCTGAGGAATCCTGGGACAAAGAAAAGGATGTGTAGGTTATTGCAAGTTGCACACACAACATCTTTGAATTATTGTGTCTGAAGGTGGTGGAAGATGGCTATGAGTTCTTTGCCAAGAGGCAGTTGGTGACACTCTTCTCAGCTCCTAACTACTGTGGGGAGTTTGACAATGCTGGAGCCATGATGTCTGTTGATGAAACCCTCATGTGCTCGTTCCAGATCCTCAAGGTCTGTTCATTCGTTCTTTTTCCCTGATTCATCTACTTCTAAATCCCTTGATGGGGATATTTCAAGTCTCAGCTTGGGTTCAGCATGTATAAAGTCAATTCACTGGCTCATATGTCATTTTTAAATTTGACTAGTTTAACCCTTCTGATATTGAGGCCTTCAGCAAAAATTTCTTTACTGAAGGAGTAACTTGAAGTACCCCTGTGCAATATTAACATTAAAAAAAATTATGCTGGTAATATAAAAAATTGCATATATTAATCAATTTGGATAAAAATCTGTAGGTTGATTTAAAGAAAATTATGGTAGACATTTTATGAAAAGTTTAACATGGGATACTGCCAGCCCCCCCCCCCCCCAGTAACAGAAGGGTTAAATTGATGATGAATCCCAGTTTTGAACAAAGACTCTCCTTTATTTTTGGTTCTTAGATGCCATTTTCATCAAGAAAAGTATTAACATCATATATATTATCTGGCAGTGGAATGCATTTGCTGAATCTAATGGTTCATCAAAATATAAGACAGGAGAGCAGAAGCTCTCCTATGGTCCATCTTCTGGTAGTGGCCTGCTCTCTGCTTATGATGGACATCATCATCACATTCCACCACTTTGAATTGCCCTAGTAGCAGTGCTCTCCACGTAGGAGTCACAAAGTTTTAGAAGGAAGGATAGGACAGTTGAAAGTATTTGCATGTGCATTCCCATGCTTGTGTCATCATTTTTATGATACATAACATAGGAACCATTACTTTATGGGTGTCCTGCATAAAGAGTAATTTTTTGTGCTGACCATGACTTTCCATTACAATCACCAATATGGTCTTCTTATTGTACCCTTTTCTTGAAATGAGAGAGATGCTGTGCCTCATTTTTGTTCATACTTTCAACTCCATTCAGAGAATTTGGATATATTTTCTTCAATAGCAGAAATAATAACTTTAGTTCAAGGCATTTCTACCTCAGAAAAGGCAGAACTTGGAGTTTGCAGCCTGGTTGAGTTTTAGTGGCTCTTTGGAGAGAATTGCAAACTACAAGGATGGACTGGAAGTTTACCACTTTAAACTTAATTTATATTGACAGTTTTATCAGTTTCATCTTGGATTGTTAAATTATGAAGTTGAGGAGTGTGTTCATGTCCAATTATTGCAACTCCTTTCTATTTGGTATGATTTGTCGTGTGTTTCTTGCTGCAGCCAGCAGAGAGAAAGAAAGCAGGATACACAGGGATTGCATCAGGGCGTCCTGTGACTCCACCAAGAGGAGCAGCTGGAAAGGCCAAGAAGAAATGATGCAAATTTTTTCTGATCATCAGATCACCTTGCATGTCTATTGAAGACAGACAGGGACAGGGGCAGATAGAAGAGCACATCTTATTGACAGTGAATTTGGTGAACTCCCTAGTGAAGCTGTGAGATGTGCTTCTTTTCTATCCTCTCCCCCTTATCTGGTTTATTTTTGGCTTATTTTTTAGAATTTTCTTGTTTTTCTTTATCATCATCAGAGGTCCCAGACTCAGCAGACACATGAATTCCTTGTTATCATTCTATATATATTTTTCCCTTGTGGAAGGATCCACTTTCCTGTCAGTTGTGGCTGGTGCTGCATCATCCAGGCAAAACAAAGCTTCCCTTTCTTTTTTTTTTCATACTTGACCAGAGTTATTATTCACCATCGTCATCCTCATCATCATCATCAGCAGCAGCAATTGTGGATGAAGTGTGAGAAGATGTTATTTCATCGTGATCTCCCTTTTTGTTGAGAACCAAGCAGCAGTAGTTGCGTTCCCCATAGAAACGCAAGAATCAGCTGTGATGAGAGTGTAGAATCCACCTCTCTCTGATGAACGGACATCATTCCGAGAAAGAGAGAGAGAGAGAGAAAAAGAAAGAAAGGAGCTCCATTGCTCACTTCACATCCTCATCATTTCATTTCTCGCCTCCTGTACAATTCCCTTTGCAACCCAGAATAAACTAAAAGAGCAAGAGAGAAACTACAGGCTTGTTTTTATGGTATTGTGTGAATGCTCATGAAATCTGCAACATCTTTGATTTTGTTGCAGAAGTCAACATCAACTATTTGAGTTTGACTGTTTTTGGAAGTCTGATGATTTCCAAAGGATGTAAAAATTTATTGTTGCAAGATTAAAATCTGTTCAGGAATGTCTTTTTTTCCTGGCAGGAAGTTCTTTGTCTTGGTGACACATTTTACACCCAATTGTTTCACGTATCTGCAGTTCTTTCAATGGCATTGATATTCACTGTCTCTGTAACAAAAATGTTTAGTGCTAGCAACTCACCCAATTTCAACTGGAAACAAAATACATTTTTAACTCTCTTTAACTGCTTAGATTTGTGCAGGTGGTTTGAGGCCCTGTGCAATTTTTTCTGTAGGCAGTATAAAATACCACAAAATGATTGATTGGTGAAAGTAGGATTCATTTCAAGTCTTATGGATATTATGTAAATGCAACAGCAGTAATAAGTGGGAAACCCAAATTGTGCATCCACATCAATAGCAGTGAGGGCGTATTTTTGTTGACGTCAATGAGGGAGTGGCAGGTGCATTTCCTTGCCCTAATATATAAAGACAGTATAGGTTGTAGGGATTTGAGGATTCAAAATTTTGCTGATTATAAAAAGTTTTTTGATTTTGCATATTGGTAGCAGGGATGTAGACCTTTTCATCAAATTTTTTGTTGTTAAATAACAACGTATATTTTTTGTTCAAGTGGTGTTGCACCAATTTTGAATTCATCACATACTTTCCAATGAACTGACACCGTAATCAAGGCTCAAATGTAAGTAGTACTCAAATTATAGGGCTATCAAAAGCTGAGGTCAGAAGATGGATCCTACATTTGAGGAGTTCTCTGGAAAAAGGGTGTGTGTGCCCATACATCCGTATGGACACATACGCCCTTTTTCCAGAGAACTCCTCAATTTTGACCACCTTGCAAACATTTTTTCCAACTGACCTAATAAGGCTGAAATGTGACATTTCTGGGTTTGAAAGTAGTATACCAAATTTAACCCTTTAACTCCTGAGTTTCCTAAGCTGTGTGCCTGTTTGTACTGGAGCCAGAATTGGACTGAAGGTGGTACAGCCCATGGAGATATCATGAGTATACTCGGGCGTGGGATTTAAAGGCTTAATAAAAGTCAAAGATGGTTGGTTATTAACACATTGACTGCTGAGGATTTAAATGCCCAGCCAACCTCTCCTTGTCACAAACAGTAGTAGAAGTTTCCCACCAAACATGCCATATTTGGTATTTTAAAAGTAATTTATGCAAGAGGAAAATCCTTAGGACTTTAGAGATTCATATCTTATGCAATACTTCAAATTACTAGGATGTAATCCGAGTAGAGATACATGTCCCATATGTCAGGTGATACCTTGAAAAACTGGTATTGGCATTGCTCATTAATAGCATTTTAAATTTAGATAGAATGGTAAAAGTCCTGTAAAAAAAAAATTTCTTACACAGCTGATTTTGTTCAGTCAAACAAAAAGTTTGACATTCGAATCAATAGTGTTATGAACTTTGAATTGCCCTCTGTTGGTCCTGCCAGGAAGCAGCAGCAAGAAAATTTCATGGCCAAATGTCAGCCCATGGCAATATTCACACAACCAGGGCAGGGCTAAAATATCAGCCTGTGGCACTAAGAGGGTTAATGACTGACATCTAGTATGGCCAACATCTCAAATCTAGGCCAATATCCTATTACCCATTCATTCTACCAGGAGTACCAGTGCCCCGAGTTGGATTCTTTCAACAGATCATCTAGTTGCAGGCCCATGCACAAAAATAAAGCTTTTATGAGGTGATTCATGAAGATAAATCCACAGCCTAAATAAGAGTACTTTCTGGAACACATTTAATCTTAGTTTCAATAGCTCATAGTACATCTGACTTCAATAAAATGAACTTTCTTGCTGTTGTATACATCTGGAGAAAGAGAATATGTTTAACATGTATGAAAAAGAGCAGTTCATTTCAAAGAGCTTGTGATAGGCAAGTTTTATTTCCTATTCAGACTGTCAACAAAAAAAAAGATCAAAATTTATAAAAAGAATTGGAACTAAAACACAAATGTCAGGTTGCTTTTCCCAAAAATTTAAGTGATCTTTGTTCTCTTTCTTTTAGCAGTTTGTGTTCGAGCAAGAAAATTTTCCCCAACATCACAAATGGAATTGCTTGCATTTTGTTAAGAAATGTGGTAGATGAGACAGATTCCAACCTTGCTACACTCTCTACCCCCATATTACATAATTTAACATTATAAGAAATCTGAACAGCTTTTTTGAACCAAACTACACCAATGTAGTGTGTCAAAGTGTGGATAGACAACGTGTGCATTTTCCTCTCAAGTGGCATATATCCCAAAACCATGAATAAAAAAAAAATAGGTGAGAGGTTGGAATTCGAGCTTAAGGGGGTAGGAATTTGTATCAATACCCTATTAACAATCTCACTGTCATAAGCCATCCAGAATGAAAAAAAAGTGAAAATCCATATACTATAAGAATCATAATCCTGAAATTATATGTGCTCCAGATTAATTACCCTTCTTTTGGCAGTATATGTAAAGCATCCTGGAATTACCCAAAGTTGTTGAATTGAGGTCATGAGTTGCTCTTTCAGGGCAGACCAGATCCATTCATGCAATGAATCTGGTCCATTTAATTCTCTCATGCACCCTTGCTCTCCCACCCTGGACAGATGATTATATAGATGAAAGTTTGCTAGATGATGAAATCAGTTTTTCAACATCACATGCAGACTTTATTCATAACTGATGTTCATTTTTGCACTGGGGAGGTCCCACCTGCCTTAGGAAGGAACCAATTTTAATTTTCCCTCTTGAAAAGAGAAGAAATTAGTCAGAGAGATGCAAAGTATCAAAGTGAAGTATCCAGTCACTGAATCAGCTTGGAGTGCTGCCCATCCTTGCCTCCTGCTTGCTCTCAAGGGAGAATGGTGGGATACGGCAATCAAACGTGAACCCATCTTCACGTTCCATACGAAATGTACCCCTAAACAAAAATAAAGGAAATGCACCAGAGATCCACAATCATGAGTCCTTCCATATAAGCTTTCTGGAAATGGACTCAATTCAGGTTTTGTCATTTTAGAGCTCTGTCCTCACATTTTTAAGATTCAAGCTCACATTGAATGCTAGGAGAGAAAGACAATACTAGCCAGTTCAGGCCAAGACCATGATTAATATCAGGTGAAACTTGGGTGGCCTGAAACATGAAAAGAAATAGGTAGAAGGCTAATTTTTTGTCAAAACTTCTTTTGGGACAATACTTATCTAAATTATACTCAAATATAATCTGAGTGAAGCCCAGTCCATCGCCTTGTTTCCTCTGAGTACACCACTGTAGTGGGTATAAGTGAAATATACTGGGTGGTCAAAAAAAATGTCCAGAAGTTTATATGCTTGCAGAGAGAATATGAGTTACAAAAATTTCAAGGAAATTGGTTTTTTAAGTAACAGTTGAGTAACAGTTTTTTCTCCCACGTGAAGTCAAAAGGATGAGCATGCAAAGAAGTGTGACTAACCTCAATTAAAGAGATGTTTGATTAGTCCTCTATTCTGGACCACAACTGCTTGCAGATGCTGTTTCTATTGGTTGATTTACTTCCGGCCTTCAATTCATCAAGTAATGTAAAAAGGGGTGTTGCATCCAGCATGAAGTTCCTTCAATTAATTTCATGTGCTGTAGTCATGAAGTTTAACTCTGGAGAATTGGGAGGCCGTTGATTTTCTCAGATGTAATCAGGAGTGTTATTCTTCAAATAATCATACACATGTTTGGCATGATGTGAAGGAGCATTATCCTGTATGAATGTGATGTGGAATTTTTTAGTGAATTCACAATGATTGAAGGTAAATTAAGAAAACCACCTGGAGAACAATCGCCTCTCTTGATGCAGACACTTGTACCCAAATCATGACTACATTTTCATGCAGGATAGTGCTTCTCCACATCGTGTCAAGTATGTGCATGGGTATTTGAAGAATAACTCTCTTGACTTCATCCAAGAAAATCAGTGGCCTCCCTATTCTCCAGAGTTAAGCATCATGACTACAGCACATGAAATGAATTGAAGGCCTGAATTGAAGAATTGTGGCCTCTTGTCTATGACAACACCACAAGGAAGTCAATCAACCAATGGAAACAGCATCTGCAAGCAGTCATGGACCAGAATGGAGGGCTGATCAAACACCTCTTTAATTGAGGTTAGTCAGGCTTCTTTGCACACTTACCTTTTGACATCGTGTGGGAGAAAAACTCTTACTTATGTAATTAACAACCATGTGATATTACCTATAAATATTGGATGTAAAACCCTGTAAATTTCCAGTTGATAGCTCGTATGGTATTCCATCTGAGGGCATGTAAAGTTAGGGACTTTTTTTGGGCCACCCGGTACATGGTGGATGACAAAATAAGGAAAGGGAGGGTGGAGAGGCTAGAAGAGGATGCCTGGAGAAGGCATGCAAGCATGTGGTTGGTTGTGGTGAAGGATTTTTCCTCCTTCACCCCAACAACCAACCCCTGCAATACTCAAGGTCCTAACGTAAAAATTACTACTACTATTTGGTAATTGATGACATTAATAAAACCCTACAGTTATCAAGTTTATTATGTCAATGAGATGTTATTCAATCTCATGCATTCTGAAGGGAGTATTCTAAACTGTTGGAGAAAGCTGCATAAATCAGACAGACATGCATCTAGATTATTCCATGAGGAGCTACTTGAAAGGGGAATACAGGGTGTCCATAAAGTCCCAATGTATTTTCTTGAAAAACTCAAAATTCTTACAAAAATGCATATTGTGTGCTTCATATTATCAATAATGAATAAGTTAAGCTGGTGATAGTATATTAAAAGCCAGTCATTAAAATTTTTTTGCTGAAGTTCCATATAAGCACCTTCCAAATCAATACATAACTGCAATCAATCTGTTGTTTCCCTTTACACATTGTTCAGCATTTCAGGGATTATGGTCTTAACAGCAGCATAGATACGATCTCTTAAATCTTCAACATTGAGAACCTGGAGAAAATTACCTGGACATGTTGCAGCAATTTCTTGAGCCATAGTTAACAGAAGACAGTGTTCTTGAGATGGTGATTTTCCAACAAATTCATCCCTATTTCACGAACATCGTGCAAGATTATCTAAATCAGAAATTCCTGAACTGTTGAATTGGCCAAGGATCAAACAGAATGAGGTCTTCAAGATCCCCTTACCTAATCCCCTTGGACTTTTTTGCATGGAGTACATTAAGTCAAAAGGTTTACAGCACAAAGGTTCTCCATGTTGAAGATTTAAGAGATTGTATCTATGCTGCTGTTAACACCATAACTCCTGAAATGCTGAACAATGTGTTCAGGGAAACAACAAATTGATTGCAGTTATGTATTGACTTGAAAGGTGCTTATGTGGAACTTCAGCAAAAAATTTTAATGACTGGCTTTTAATATACTACCACTAGCTTAACTTACTCATTATTGACAATATGAAGTGCACAATAGGCATTTTTGTAATAATTTTGAGTTTTTCAATAAAATAGATTTGGCTTTTATGTATATATAATTGAGAGGAGAGGTAGTAGAATAGTGAAGCAATGGCAGAAAGAGAAGAGGGAAATGAAAAGGAGAGGACTAAAGGTCACCTACATTGTTAATGACCTTCAGAACATGAATAAAGTTGAGAACCAATATGAAAATGAATTGCAGGGTTAAGACTCAAAGGTGCTCAGTTGACAATATGGTAGTTCTAGCAGTTTTCCTTTAAGGGATGACAATCAGTCATAGAATGTGATTGATGAAATCTCTGAGGATACTATGAGGTGAATGGCCACTGAGGTGTTCAGGAACTGGATCAACATTTCTCATGTAGGATTCAATGGAGATGTCATGTGAAATTGATCAGCAAGGTGTCTCACAACTTTAATGAATAGAGTGAGGAAGATATTACAGAAGCCACATTATAGATGTTGCAGAAGTGCCATCATATTTTGGAAGAGCCACTAGGAACTACAAGCCACCACCTCAATTTGAAAATAAAGAGGGCATGTGAAACAATGGAGGGAAGAGCACAATGAAGCTGAGAAATTGACTGATGGATATCTCCCTGTGATATGAAATTCTGTACAAAATATCATGAAATGCATAAGAACTTTGAGAATCATGCTACATAAAAGTTACATAAAAAGAGGTGGGTGAAGTCAAGGATAAAAGGTGGAAAGTCATAAAAGAAAGGATCCATTTAGAAGAGAAGTATGGGGAGAGTAGGATAATGAAGACTCAGGAAAAACATTCAGAATTAAATGTTACCTTAATGGTAGCACCAATTAACTAGGGAGGGAAGCCATGCAAAAGAAAACTAGCGATAGGCAAAGGCAAAGTTGAGCTCCATGAGCAAAAATGTCAGTGAAACAGTTCTTGAAATATACAAATTAAGAGAGGGGACAGTTTTTTTTTGCATGAAATATGAGGGAAAATTATATGTAAATGAAAGAGAGAGGGAATATTGCCCACAATATCAGGTAAGTGTACCAGATGTTGGATTTGGATGGTCCAAACACATCCCATTCACTCAAATGCAACTCCTCTAAATGCTGTATAAGGATCAAATGGCCTACAGTAGCTGACAATTAATTCCATATTCCTGCAGCATTTAATGCAGCTTCCCTCAAAGCTCATGATCATATGCCCCTTCAAGATCCACAAAGGACATGTAAACCTCTTCAGCAAATTCCCAATGCTTCTGCCTCTCAAAAATCTGGTGAGTGAAATGCTGATCTATGGTGCTGTGCTCTTCAAGATATCCACACTGTTCCTCCTGGATGGCTTCTTCAGCAGCTGTAAGAGCTTTATTTTCCAGCACCTCTACATATACATAACCAGGAATGCTGAGGAAAGGGATTCCACAGTAATTGGTGCACTCCCATCAAGTTCCTCTTCTAAAAGAGAAGATCTGCCACACCAGTCTGCTAGCCCATAGTTGTCGTCCCCTCATTCCCATAGGGTTTGCATACCTTATGCAACTGCAAACACTTATTACTACTCATTTCTTTAGTGGCATGTACCATTTGAGCCAAATTTGCTACATCTCCCTTTCCTCCCATTAAAAACTTGAGGGTTCACCTAAGGTGTTTTCTCAGTCAGTGCAGGGCCCCATGGCTTGAATGGAGTGTATATGTGATTCAAATAGTACACTTGCACCTAGAATGTTTTAATCCCACCTTCCTTAAATATATCATGCCTTTTTGAATGAAAGATATACTTACAAAGGTCAAAATCATTTCTTTTGTCATTTTATTTGCAATGGTGTGGTAGATGCATGATGTAAGCAGGTTTCTTTCCAACTTTCTTTTGAAAGAACAGAAACTAGAAGAATATATGAGAGAGAGATAGAGAGACATCTGAGGACAGACCACATGTGTCCAGAGGGAGCCTGAAGAGAGACATGACTGCTGTACTGAAATGCAGGCTGGAGCTTTGACAGGACAGGTTCCTGACCAACAACCCCACGTCCTCGCACAGTCTCAAGGGTTCCTGACAGGCTGAAGATACGCCAATGTCTCTCTCTCAGCTGCACTGACAGCTCTCCAAGGTTCTCCAGTCGGATGCAGTAACGCCACTATATACAACCATCCATCAAAATTAATATTATGTAACTTGGTACATTAGGGAAGGAATGAATAAGTGCACAGCCATTTCTAAAAATTTCCTACCTTGTGTTCAACTGAGCACTCAAACTCAAATATATAGTGCAGGCAGAAAAATACAACATGATCATTTCAAAGAAATGAACATTACCATTGAAGAACATGGAAATTTGTATTGCTAAGTCTCAGTTTTTGTTCAAGGGTACTTTGGCAGATTTTCAAATGAGCAAATGGTGCTTCTGATCAAAGCCTATGATTACATAAAGAGTCCTCTTTTTGTGCTATTACAATTCTCCAGTTACCATCTAAATTCAGGTAGCAATAAAATAATTCATGTAATAGGACTCCTAGTACAGTGCCCCATGATTAAATGATGCAAAAGTATTCATAAAGTAAATTACTAGCCCATATTGGATACTGAAAATGATTTAAGCTTTCCAATGAAGTAGAGATAAGGAAGTGTCTTTCACTCACCCAATAAACAGTTGAGTTTTGTGATTCACGACAACCCATATAGAATGGGATGACAGTGACACGCACATTCTCTGTTGTCTCCTTGTGCACATCTGAGAGCTCCAGCCAAGGATGATTCTTCTCCTGCCATGCTTTCAGTGTCTCCCTAGGGCCAAAGGGAGGATCTATAGAGAAAGCCATATTGTATTTATTTGTGTAGAGATTTACCTATCCATCAGGCAACACCATGAAAGCTGAATGTGATTCTATTCCTTTCTCTTACCTCTATCAGGATCGTACTTGAGAAACTTGTCAAAAAGCTCATGATGCAGGGGCTGACCTTCAGTGGCTGTATATGGAAGGATATCCTCATGAGCCACATAATCCAGGCCTGGGATGGCATACAAGGAACGGGAGTTCTCTTGGTTCCCAAGGAATGTCACTGCTTCTGTCTGTGCCCTCTACAAAGTAAGATGCATAGGCAACCTTTATCATCTCCATATAACTAACCCATCTGTTTACTCGATGGACCTTCCCCAACAAACTCACGATATATGGACAGTCTCGTTGATCAATCAGAACTTGATAGAATGTGTGAGTTCTTCCCTTCACCTCCCGACTCAATCCACCATGGTTTCCAAAATCATCATCAGACCTGAACAGTTACAAGAAAGTCACTTTCAAGACCAAAATGACTCAATCTATAAAGTTGCATGCCTGGGACTATTGGTATGTAACTAGTTACAATGATGTCATAAAACTTTATGGCAGCCATGACAGTATTTCTTTATTTTGAGAACATTGTGCCTGTTTAGTCAGGTATCTTGATAATCATTGCCATGAAATTAAGGTTGAATCAATCTTGAAGCACAGAGTCAATCAAATGGGTTAATGACAACCCCAAAAATCAAATATATGCCTTTTATTGATTGGATAGTCATAGAAAAAGAGCCTATGAATGTTTGATGCCATGTCCTTGAATATGGATGGCTACCTTCACCTATTCATGACATACAACTTCCCACTCTTAGAAGGATCTTAGGTCTCAGAATGGGTCAAGGATGCATCAGGTACTTATGACCTCCCAAACTGGATGGAATCACACAAAACTCAGCCACCTTAGACAACTCTACAAATTTATGAAGCAATGAAGCATGTCAAATATGGAGTGAATCTGCAAACTGAGTGCAGAGCATTGTACACAAAAGTAGTCTGCTGAATGCAAAACCATGAAATTGATATTTGCAAGTATGACAACAACACTTTCTGTTCCTTAGGTTTCATCCTCTTTTGGTCCAATGGTGAAAGAATATGCTCACTTTGTTGATTAAAAAGCAGGGTATAACAAGATCATAAAGCAACTTCATTTCACTGTTGGATACCTGAAGTTGAACTTTCCTGCTGCCACATCAGCATCTATAGTATTACTTTTGAAACTGGGAAAAGCTCATGATATTCCTGATTTCATGACATGTTTATTTATCTATTATAATACCAACTTCTTCCTTTTGGAGGCTCTACTTTCTCTGCTTTCTTTTCTTCATGCCTTACTTTGATTGGTCACTTTAGTTTAAGGTGCTTGACAAATTCTACAGTAGTCTATTCTGTATTATGATCAATCTTTCATATAGAAATTCTCACATAGTTGGATCCCAAGATGGCCTGATGCACACTGGCTCTTAAGTAACAGAAATAAAACTTGCCAGAAATGAACTTGCACTTGAACTAGGTTATAGACAAGGCTACACTTGAAGGTTAGGGTAAGTGGATTCTCAGGCTTTTAATGATGATTAAATGCAGAAGTATCTAAATATTTGCTTTTATAAAACTTGCAATTTTAATTTCATAATGTTAATACATAATTCTTTCCACTGTCATAAGGGAATGTAGCAATGTTCTCTTCTTTGAGAACAATGTATTCTATCACACATGAGATTCTAAAAAACAAATTACCTATCCTCTTTCCTCAAGGGCTTTAACAACCCCTTTCCACTTGAGGGTTGATGATGGAAAAAAAGGGTTCAAAGTAATTTAATCTCACATTTCTTTGTTCTTCACAAAATCAATAAAATTAAAATAGAAGCAAAACTTTTCCACTGAAGTGTATATTCAATTCTTTCATTATTTTTGCAAGTTGAGGTTATGTTGAGTTGATATAGCATCAAGGGACACATCAGTTCAACTGGATTCACTCAATCACATGTGAACTCGTTTGTACAAAAGCCCCTTTTCCAAAGAACTCCCCAAAGGAAATGCTGTCTCTGGTTGAGGCTCAGGTCATGTTTCACATGGGTAGAGGCAAAGGCACTGCTTCATCTACTTCCTTCAATGCTTTTAACAACATACAGCTTTTTTTTTATAGTTCCCTTCAACCCTTTCAGACCTGGATTAAGGCCACTATCAGAATAATATACTTTTTTGCATTTTTGAGCTCTTCTCCAAAGCTACTTTAAATTTCTATGTTCCATATATCATTTTCATATTTTGTGTACATTTACCATATCATACTACATATTACATATTAAACATGTATTTATATAACTGAAGATTACAAAACTGACAGGTGAGAGAAGGCCTCCGATGGAATTGAGCCGTGCATAATTGTACCCATTGTAGTGTAATATGGGGTGCAAAGTCACAAAAATCCCAATAAATTACCATATACACAATGAAAATGCAATGTCCATTGGAATGGATGCTGGGTCTGAAAGGGTTAAACTAAGAGGGGAGTACTTTTTTCTAAAAGGTAATGAAAAGTACAAAAATCACTGTAAGCCTGCAGCTACCTCCAAGTATGATTTTTTGAGTCACATAGTCCTGACATTCATTGGAGACATCTACAGTTAATTCAATTGTGCTATAGCATGGCATACTGAATATCTAAGAGAAAAGCTACTTAAGGTTAGCCTATTTCAAACAATGTTCAAGGTGGATTGCTTATGGAAAGTAGTTCCACATAAACAGCTTTCTTCCTGGAAGCAGATGATTTCATATGGCAGTTGGAGTACTAATTTAGAGTTTTAAAACCTGTGACTGTTTGAAGAAACATGGTAAGAAGTAGCAAAATGGAGTTTCCCAAGAAAGGCTATCTGTGCCACTACTATACAATAGAACTCAATTATAACAACCTTGGTTATAATGACGAAGAACGCCAGGTCCCAGCATATAGCCCATAAGGTAGGTGAAATTTTACCTCAGTTATAGCACGAACCTTGGTTATCATGAAGGCCATTCATGATGCCCAATTCATCATTCTTGACCTTCCATCTTAAGAAGAGTGAGTGAAAGATAAAGTTATGGTGAGCCATAACTTTATCTTTCCTGGAATCAGCATTCCATTTCAGTCATATAGATGTGACTGGAGGAGGGTAAGGGAGGGATAATCCCCAGTAACTAACAAGATCATATTATCTTCTGTTGCCATTTGCATTTCTCATTAACAACATGGTCAGGGAAAAGCAAAATAGGCAAGCCTTCACAATTAACAAGAAAGTATGCATAATTCGTTGAATAGAAAGTGGGTGAGGTAAAGCTGACACCTCTCGTGAACATGGACAATAGACATGGACATTGTGGAAAGACATGAACTAGGAAGTTCATCTCTTTCCACAATTTGGAAAAGTCATCACAGCTGCATCCATACTTGGAAGAACATCCCTCAAAACAAAAAACTTTGTAGATCTTCATGAGATGATGTCAACAAATCCTTACTAAAGAGGTTCATGGTTCAAAGAAATGTGAACATCACAATTAGTGGGCCAATGCTTAAAGTGAAGCCAGTGCAGACCAACCGATGTGTACTAGAGTTGTATGTAGCATCTATTTTGAAAACAAAGAAATGGAATGTCAATAGAGGCAACCTTGGTTATAACTGATTTTTCCCTGGTCCCTTCAATGACATAACAGTTCGACTGCACATGAATAAATCTATTGCATGCTGATGTCATCATTTCCAGTTCCAGCAAATGAATTCCCAACAACCACCAACACAGAACACTCCTGAATTCATGAGCTGTCATCTGTACAGGAAACTGATTACATTTAGGTATTACATGTCAAGAGGACAATTTGAATTGAGAAATGAAGATTCAATCCTTCTTCATCGGGAATGGCAAATATTTCAAGGAGAGATCCTGAAATCCCATGCCTCATTATAACAATGCAATAAATCTGTTATTAAGTTCTGTGGATTTGGCATGAAACAGACTTCTCCTTTTTTGATGGGATGTCCCTGTCATAGACTCGTGCCATCCATGGAAAGAGGATAACACCCCGATATCCAAAGATGCAGTGAAGGAACAGCTGGCCTGTGTCATATTTCCCTTGGATCTTCGGTGTTTCCAGTCGACCCACCTCTGCCAACCTAAAATGCAAAAACTTCAAGCTGTTGGGCATCAAATAGACTTCCTCAGCAATGTTACCACAAAGTTCAAGTAGTATTCCATGACTTCCAACTGATTCACTTTTATGTTTAAAGAAATTAACCAATAATCCTTCCTATATGACATTATTCATGATTCAATCATTCATATTTAGCATGGGAAGGACTATTGGGATATTTTCATGCATATTACATGAAGAATATGGATATTTTTTCCTAATCAAGAAATTCTGCATCATCATTGATACAAAAATGCTATCACTTCATTCTATTCATTAAATAGCTGCAGCATCTTATTTTCCTTGAATTTTTTTTTGGACGAAAACAAATCATGATATTTCATGAAGGACCCACAAAGTAATACCTGTATATTCATGTTATTTCTTTAATGCACTCATTCCCTTATTACCCACTCTCAAATAAGAACAAAGAGGGTTGATGACAGCTGATGACTCCTCTTCCACTTGTATGCCAATCTTTGTCTTTCCTGGGATTGACACCCAAGAGCCATCACAACACTGGAAAAATTATACTATTGTAGTTTATTTTTGCCAGTTCAGTGTTCAGCATTATGCTATTACTGGAACACCTAGAAGTTGAATCATCACACGTGATCAGAGAGAGCATTTGTATACTAAGGTGCTGATATAATGCAGAGGATGGAATAAAGGTTCATAAGGTTCCCCTTTGCATCCAGTTGGAAGCTCAGAAGTTTATAATGATCACTAGAGAAGCCCAAAAAACCTCTAGCATTCACAAGCCAAGCATGAACTTCTTCAAGAATGGCCACATGGTAATATTTATTATCAAAGAGACATTGCATATGCATATTACATCTCCATTTTCCTGTAAAAATCAATAGGTCATCTTGACTCCCAGTTCTTCTTGATAAAAAATTAACCAGAATTTATGTGTTTGGTAAAGCTGCAGTTGATTCATCCCCCACCTGCCCTCCCCCATCCTAGGTCATATTAAGACAAAAGTTTTAGGGCCTGAATAATGACACCTCCATTAATTAACTGCCCTTTAAGGCAGCAGTTCCCAAACTGTGGGTCACAACTCCTTGGACTCATAAAGGTTCAAAGCAAGTAAAAGGTTTGGGAACCACCACTTTAAGGAACCATGGACTCCTAGGAGGAAAAATAGCTCTCTAGCTTAAAGGCCCTTCATCTTACTAAAATGAGCATTTAGGCCTAGTCAGAGCAACGGAAGTGTACACGTGCAAACACTTAGGTGATACTGATACAAGATTGCAGATTGTCTGAAGAAAGTAGATGCTCAGTTTGTAACTAAGTTTATCAGTTGGCTTTAATGGGTAATGGGAAAAGTGAGCAGTAAGCATAGAAGTGGTAGCAGGAAGGAGGAAGAGTTACATGTGGGTCTTATGTGGGGATCATCCTACAGAGACTGAGATAGTATAAAGCAGGGTACATATTTGCTCACTCGATCAAATTCAGCATTTGTGCCAGATCATCATGAAATTTCCTGTGGGAACGATCGCTCATTCACACACCTGGTGCTAAACTTGTCTGTTTTCAGCTAGCTGAAGTAACTATCGCACATATCCCTTGTGGAACATCTCTCCCATGGTTTTCTGTTTCTTTGGATATCCCCATCTCCTTCTGCTCACCATATGGCCAACTGCACCATAGTCAGAGAATCAAAAATATGTTTAAAATTGGAAGGTTTTTGCATTTGGATTCTTGGCTTTTTCTTTCAAAGCATCCCCTGCACCTACCCTGTTCTAGTCAATTCAAATGCTGCAAAAACCAATGTTTAAAAGGGAACCTCTGGTATTGGCTTATCAGTAAACTAGTCATACCAGTTTTCCAATTAAACTGATACGGACAATTATAGGTTTTTATATTGGTCCAATAAATTATCAGTAACATCCCAAGTCTAGATATTGATAACACTAAAAACTTAGCCAGGACCCACAGGGAAATTTTTGTATCCCATTTCATATGTTGATGTTACTCATTATGACTTACATTCTTGTATGCAAAGATTGATGTTAACGATGTCACTATAAAATGAACATTTAGAGCTTACAATAAATACCACTGTTTAAGAGTAAGAACTATGGGGCTTCATCTCCATCATTGCTTAATGCACAAGTTCACAGATAAAGGATTGTCACCATGACAACATGAATGATAACGTTAATAATAAAATGGACATCCATGGTCTACTAAAAATCCCTGAGAACTTGACCTATAAAGACAAGAACATCCATTGGTCAAGTAGACTCATATCTAGCATTCCTGAATCATATGACAGTTCTCTATGCGATGAAATCAACTAAATTTTGAAATGTGAACTTTAATTTCAATACTTTTTGCCAGGTTTTTACTTGTTTTGACCCACTGTGCAGCGGTGACATTTTCCAACTAATATTCTTAATGCATAACATTTTCTGCTTCCTACCTAAACCCATCTCATTCGTTCCTAATTGCCATTTACCTCGTTTCATCTTGTTTGCTGCTGTGTGATTGATCCTGGTAGACCTACTCGTGGCGATTGAAAAAAGGTTAATGAAACACAAGCAACCAGCTAATTCTACATCCACAGCCATAGCAGATTCCCAAAAACATGTCCGAATAGAATAGTCTTAGGCTAAGGCCCCATGGAAAAACAACGGGGGAGTTTCGGCTTGGAAACCAGGACCTACGTCCATACCTGGTGAAGAACCTGAACTTTGTCTGACGAGAGCTAAGAAGATTGGAGAAAACCTTCCTCCCCAGAGAGGGAGAGTGAGATAAGGAAGAGAATATCCTGGAAGTTGCCACTGGCATGATGACCATGTGACTCAAACGGGTTCCGCCATATGAAAGTCCTGTACCACAGACGGCGGATCCTCTTCATCATCTTCCAAACTAAATATGCCACACAATGTATACTGTAAAAAAAAAAAAAAAAGTTCCATACTTTTTCGATGAGGAAATGAGCATTCCTTTCCACAAGGGTATTACGTCTTGCGTGGGCTCTGCTAATTGAACTTCATCATTGTTAGATGCATTTTGATAATCGTCTCCCCCTTCTCCAGGTATAATTTTAAAAAATCGTCATGAAATGAAACCTCACTGGTCACAACCAGTCCGACCTCACCTCTTTCTGTCATCCCCTTTCATCCGAGACATATCAGTAGATACTCTGTACCTCTTCCTCCAATCGAGTTTTTTCAGGGGAATCATATATTAGCGCCGTGCCAAAATTACCACTGTTAAGGTTCTTCTACCAGAAATATCCGAAGCTGACTTTTTTATGATTCTGATTTAATCCGAATCACTTTTCCTATGAAATGACGAAATTAGATTTTAAATTTGAAATTAATCAATCTGGATCAATCGAATACTAATCAGGATAAGTCCTAAAAAGACTAAACTCAATTCAAATTGAATTTTCACAATTTGTAAATGAATGGAACCTTCTGAATTAGAAATCAATATCTATTCCTTTTTCTTTTAACTCTTCTGCAGTAACCATAAAACGCCATGTGTTCTTGAATTCTGTGCTTCTGGAAGGACAGTAAACTGAGCAGGTACAGAGTGGTAAAATACAGTGGAAGTAGTATGAGACACGTGCAGTATGCCAGCAGTTCAGATGGAATAATGGCCTTGCAATGTTAAATACAAGTTTAGTCCAGCATACAAAGGGAAGAATAATGAGCCTAAAGTTTTGAATCTTTGTACCCACACATCAGAATCTCGCACCAAATTTGTATCATTCACATCTGAGTTGAACTAATACTTATTCTTTCAAGATGAATCTGAAATCAAAATGCAAATCCTACATTTAATCAATGATCCACAGCTCAAATCAAACTGTTAGTCAAATGGAGCCATCTCTGTGGTATTCCTGAGATGTTCTACTTGTAAGAAAATAGGATGCAACCTGAATAAAGCCTGGGCAGATTTTTTCCTCAGTTGAAATGAGTGTTATCTATTCCCCATATAAAATGAGTGGAGCATTTTCTATTAAAATCATCCTATACTGATGGTAATGGTACTTTTCTCCTTTGAAGTTTTAATCCAGCATAATGAGACTGAATAATGAGGTAATTTTTTTAAATCTAAGCCATCCCAACCTCAGATCAGTTTCTGCACAAAGTCAGGCAGGCCTTGCCTGCCACCAATCATTGTAGTTCAAATGATATCTGATTTTATTCACTCAAATGAGAAATGATTCACAGATTAAGCCTCACTGAAACTTGAAAATGCCCTGTAAGGTTTCCAAACTACCTTCAGTTCGAAGGCATGACACATACATGTACCATATATAAACTTGAGAGGGAGGGTAGCAGAGCACCAGGAGAGGAAACACCGGAAAACATGGGAGGAACCCTGTCAAGGTGAGACAAGTCCCAAGGGGGAAGGATTGTCATGACTTATGAGGGAGGAGGTTCAAAGAGTGAAGTAGGGCTAGCCAGGGTCACACTGGTCACATCTCGGACCACCATCTCAGCCACACGCCATGCCAGCTCTTCCTCATCCATTTTCTTCTTCTTCAATCCCTTCATCATCCGCCTTAATCTTGATTCACCTATTAAGGACAAAAAAATATTTCCTTGCAATTAGTGCTGTACCGGTGGCCACATCTAGCTGGTGGGCCAATTTTTTCCTCATAACCATTGGCCAGTGCTGGTGCCAATTGTGGCCTGTAGAAGAAATCGCCTCTATTGATTAAAATAGGCGTAATTGGAAGCCATGTGATACTCATCAGAAGGCAAAACTACTATAAACTGGGACTCAGAATCCTGCCATGGCCTCAAGGTCATGCATTCCTGTGTAACCCTATAACATGTGTGGTGAAACTGTAGACTCCTGAGTCCCACCCAGACTGAAAGGGTTAAAGAAGAGGTGGTAAATAATGAATATATCAGTAAAACCACACTGGACCATGACCTTTGTCCTGGAGAGACTGAGGTGCAATTCTGTGTGGGTTAGCAGCTGCCCAGATTTGGTAATTGTGAGTGTTGACAGCTCTTGAAAAATGAGTGTGCTTCATCTGAACACATGATGCACACCGCAGCCAATTGGGATTCATTGCCTTCTATGCCATGCATTGCTTTGTAAAATGTTGAGCATCTGTTGTGCTCTGTGTCAAGTGGCTTCTACACATGTTAGATTTGGAATGGGTAAAGTCTGAGGGTGCACCAAAGGATTCTCCTTACTGCTGACAGTGGCATGTCCAAACGTAATGTAACCATGGTGTTTCTGCACAATTGGTATTCCCCTTCAGTGCCACTTCCTCCATTGTGTGCTTCACTTCCAGCACCATATCCATAGCAGCAACAAGTCATCCAGGCTTCTTGATATTCTGAATACCATCTGTTCTCTCAAACATCATATCAGAGATTTCACAGCCTGCATTATGCAGGGGCCTTTTTGTAGGCCCATCTCTGAGTGGTAGGCCTGTATAGCATCAGAAACAGATTTTGTATCATAGTTTCACCAACCCCTTGCCACATATCGTGCTATGGTCATACAGGAAATAGCGTCTGTTGCCTTGCTCTTCTGAGACCCTACATGCTACCTTGAAATGCATAATCACCTGAAATGGAAATGTCTACTGCCACACCATCTACCAAAAGCCTTGTACATATAAAACCCAGTGTCAGGCATTACTGTAAATTATATGAAGTCAATGATATATATAAATATATACTCACTACTTCATTTGATATTCAGAATAAGTTATCTTCATTTGGCTGTAAATGAGAAGGTAAAGATGAATATGAAAAAAAACTCATACAGAAGCTGACCAGCATGAACCCTTTGTCATTCCATAAACTCAAAGAGAGGATTCATCTTTAACCCTTTCAGACCAGACATCCATTCCAATGGACATTGCACTTTCATTGTAATTTCTTGGGATACTTGTGACTTTGCACTCCATATTATACTACAATGGGCACAATTATGCATGGCTCAATTCCATAGGAGACCTTCTTTCACCAGTTAGTTTTGTAATATTCAGTTATGTAATTAAATTTATAATATATAATATATGGTATGATATGGTAAATTTATACAAAATATAATAAAAACAATATATAGAACATAAAAATTTTAATTACAATGGCGAAAGAGGTCAAAAATGCAAAAAGAATATATTCCAATAGTGGTCTCAATTCAGGTCTGAAAGGGTTAAGGCACTCATCCTGACTTTAATGGACGAATGCACTCTAACAGTACTTTAAAGGTTGGAGAATAAAGGAAAAGTTTACAAACCTTCTTTACTCTCAGGGTCTGGCTCTAAATTGGTGCAGTACCGACCCAATTCTGTCACCTGTCCAGTCATCAATTTCCTGCAAGTAATGTATGATACTCTGGTATGATTGCATCACATCATCATGAAAACAATAAGAAAAAAACCTACCCTGCTAAAGGACGATTCCAAAGGCACTTGTTATTTGATAGGGGGTCATCAGAGAAGGAGAACTTGGAGTGTCCTTTACTTCGCTTGAGAGATAAAGGGACTCCTGGCTGAGATGTATCCATGGCAAGCAGTGTATTCCTAATTGATGCACTGCTACATGTCTGTTCACTGCTCTCACTGCTTGTTGAGCCTTTTTGATGGGAAAAAAAATATGCTTTTCATATGTTTCAAGTTTCTTTTCATAACTAACCACAGGGGTCAAGGATCTACACAAGTTGATATGACAAGATAAGGCCAGGAAGATTGAAATGCTTAACAAAAGGTTTCTGAACAAGTGTTACATGTCATATAAAATTCTGTACATGAACAACTGACTTTTTAAATAATTTTTTTTTTGCAAAAAGGGACTGTTGTTTCTTAAATTTTTCTTACAATACATTTTATGAAGTGGTTGATACCTGGTTTCTTGATGGTAGATGGAGGAAGCTGGGCATACTGGACCTGAACCACCCGGATTAACTCCGTCAGGTACTTATAGTATAACTGGGAACTGAGGAAGTGTGGGAAGAAGTGCTGCAAGGAAAACAAGTCTTTTTTTGTACTTCACTCTAGTCAGGAGACCCTAAAAAGTAGGCATTCCCTTTTTTCTGAAGAACTTCCTATCCAATATAGAAGGCAAGCCTTTGGAGTTAGCTATGTTTGAAGTTGCACTGAATTGCAATTTGCAATTAAAAAGAATTTTATATTTTTTCAAATGTATTTCAAAAACTTTTTTTTTTGCAGAGAACTGCATTTCAAATATAAAGTACAAATACAGGGTGGACCAAAAAAATATTCGGTTATCTGTAATGCTTCACAGCATCGTTTCTTGAGAGTTTAAAAATATTGTAGTAGCATTTCTATTAAAAACATATATCTAGCTTTCCACTGATGTCAAAAGATTTCAGATCCAATTTGTCCTTCCAATGCAGTTATATACAATGTAACAGCGGTAACGCTTGAAAGGTGCACTTACCAATGCAACATGGGATGTGCTCCAGGTGATGTCCATTCTTTTGCTTATAGCAAGTAGGCAAAGTCTTGCGTGCACTGGCTAAAATCGCAGTTAGGCCCCAACTTTTCCAGAACCATCTCTTATACTCTTTATTTAACTGCGTGGTAGTTAGGCCACAAATGCTTATTTTGTTGACATCATTTGAAAGCTAAACGAATGTTCTCCATGGAGGCACTTACATTTTTAGCAAACTCTTGGAGACCAGTGCTGTAGAGTAATAAAGATAACTGAAGTTTTTTTTGCCTCACCCTGTTCATGTTGTGATATGTATTTAAATACAAAATATCCAAAATGTATTAAAATACATATTTTAAATTCTGCCCACTTCTAATGGCTGAAGACTCACTGTGTGACAAAAGGGGAATTGCTGAAATATTTGTGATGCAACCAAATGGAAAGAACATTAGTATTTTTTAAATATATGCTTGTTAGTAACTGGGAACATCCTGAAAATGTTGGGTCAGGACCATGACTGAACTTCAGCCTCATTTCATTGGAATTTCTCAATTTGTTTAAGTATTATGCCTCATGTCTAAAAAAATTTATTTGATACTTTGACTTGTACCTTTAACTTACATCTTTATCCTCCCTTCTACAAATTCTACCTGCAGTAATTTCTCTCTTTTGGCAAATTTCTTCGATTTTGGCAAAATGTATACAAAATGTGAATGTGTTTCTCCACAACTTTAATTTATCATGCAGTAAAGTAATCTTACAAGCAAGAACTAACAATCTGAGAAAGAATTTGAGAAAACCTATATTAAATATCTCCTGGAAATATGAGGATCTAACTATGAAAGCATTAGATATGTTGTCAAGTTCCTATTCCATTTAGGCAGCCCAGGGCAAACCTTTAGGTTCTTTTGGAAATCCAAAAAGAAACCCTTTCTATATCAATATTGATGCATATCTCCTTATTTCACCATTCATCTTTTTGTTTTGCTTCACTTTCCCTCTCTGTTCCTCTTCTTTTCTTCATGCTCTGGACCTATTGTCCTGCTTCAATTGCATGCTTGGTCTATTTGCAGTTTTGTACTTTTTTCCTGCATTGACGACATGTAAAAAAAAAAAAAAAGCTATAGACTCAATTAATTTCCATACTGACTAGCATCCCCCAAAAAAAAAACCTATACTAATACTACTAATGAATGATATAAAAATATTGATAGTAATGAACAGAAATATACAAAGACATATCATGGGTGCCAACTCACTGCACTTATTTGATGAACACTGCCTAGTGTGCATCTGAGAGATGGGGATTGGCCTTTTTACCAGACACTTGGAAAGGCTGAAGGGTTAACAAGGATTTCCACATCCAAAGGAGAAACAATAGTAAAACTTTTGACCTTAATGCCACTTGCATGGCCTCTTTAGCATTTATACAGTCAAGAGAGTATTCTTGTTAAAGTAACTCATTTTATCAGTCTAATCAGTTTCCCTTGAACTACAAGATCCAAATGCATGAGATTCCTGTTTTCTCACAGTATCATTGTCTCCCAACAAAATGTTGAAAGCAAAAATGCAGACTGTCTGATTGTTGATTTACCAAAATTGTCAAATTTCTAAATTAGAGACACATCGAAATGAGCTTTAGTATCTTCTGCCCAAGAAGTCACCAAAAAGATATCACCCACCCAATGAAGTCTCAAAAACACATCATGCTGAAGGAGGAAAAGGTTGAACTGCATTTGGTCCGCAGTCCAGAAAGGTATCATGCACTTTTGGTGGTTATTTCATCGGTTCATCATAAAAGTGATACTATGGATCATGCAGGGCAACTGTGCTTCATGAATTACATTACACATTCTCCTTTGTGCACATTCCATGAATTAATAACTATCCATCCACAATCAACATTATGTCAACCAATGAATGGATGTTGTCTTCGATAGTTGGAGGCAATTTCATTACTTGTTGCGAAAGCCACACCTTCCCCCCGTTCGCAAGCGTGAGATTATGGAAGACTGATAAGAGGTCTGTGCTCCGATTGAGGCAGGAAATGATGGAAGTGAAACCTCCACCCAATAGTGGCAAAAAAGGACTGAATCCTCTGGCGCAACCCCCCCCCCCCTCCGCCAATGCATCGATACACTATCGATAGTTCAGGCCAATGCATCGATTTTTCAAAACTGCTATTGTGACAGCCCTAATTAAAACCTATGTAAAAGTAAAAATTTACAATGAGTCACAACTATTTCAAGCATTAACTCTACTCTGCATGTGAAATGGTGGGACAAGATGTTTGCAAGAACATACCTCCCACATGCACTTCTTGCAAAATGTTTCTCAACACTGCTATGATAACATGCTAACATATAGCAAAAAAATCAAGGAGTCTTCAACAATAATGGGAGAGTACTATAGTCTATAAGTAAGCATAAGTGATTGAGTTGAGAAATGAGAGGGAATGTGTGAGAAAGAGAGACTGCACCTTGGTAAGGACAGTGGTGACAATGGACATGGGTATGGCAAAGCAATCATATTTTGGTCCCTCATCCTGGCACATGTTCTCCTCTAATGCCAGTCGTACAGAATCACTGAATCCCAGAGCAGTAGGGGATTGGAGGGAGAAGTAGCGTTCATACAGAACAATAGCATCTCCCTGTGCCTCCTCTTGGACCAACTCCTGACTTGCGAGCTGCTGTGTCAGGTTTGTCCCTGCCAGCAAGAACTCCACCAAACCTCGATCTCCTTCCTGGTCCATGAACTGATTGAAAACCCATCAAATAACCTCATGAAAAAAAACCAATGACTTCAAGTGCATCTTATGAATGCTTAAGAGAGCTTAAACCACTCTCTAGGCCTAAGGAGGGAACAATGATACCAGTATGCCATTAGGAAGTACAAACACTGATACTTATATTTTGAACATAATTTGCATAAAATATGCTAATTAGCATCTAATATGGCTGCTATAGTCAGGAGATTGGCCATATTTTCAAACTCATTTCCCAGAAAACGTACTATTCAACTGGAACAAGATTTTCTGACATTCTATATACATAGGAGCAGTGCATGATCAAATCTAAATTTTTCCACTTGCCATAGAAAAAATATTGATCATATTTTTGAATTTTGAGATTTTTCCATGCCTAATTGCATATTCATACAAATATATCTTCTGATATTCAAATTACAAAAAGCCACAATCTTTCACTAGATATACATATAAAAGACTTATGCTGAAAAAAAATCAGCAAAATACTCCAAAAATTGTCAGAGTTATCATGTTTGAAAGGTTGCCTGACAAGCAAAAAACAATAATGAGAAAAAGAGGTCTAAACATTTCATTGCATGTTGGCGAGAGCACAAAGGTGGATGGAAACCAGCTCCAACTTACACTGTTTATAAGAGGAACTGTGGTTGGCTGATTTATGAATTTATGAAGAACAGTTACAGAATTTTCAGCATCTCCTTTTTGAAAAAAACGGCAAATAAAACAGGCTGTAACTAAGGCTCAAAGTCATTGCTAGGGAGCATGAGAAAGGCAGTCATTAGCCTAATTATGAATAATTGAGCATATTTTGACCAACTTTTTTCAGAGAATTACAATGAGTCAAAGAAGATTATGGGCTGTTTAAAAAAATAAACCTTTTTTTCTTCCCAAAAATCTGAAATTTAATGGTATAGAGCTACCTTAAGTCATCTCTCACAAAATGTGCTGTGGAAGAAGTATACCTCTGTCTATTTGAAAGTCAACAAGGCTGTTAAAAACCATTACTTAGAATCAAAGTTGTAAACTATTTCTTTGACAAATGACATTTAAAGTGGATAGTACCTTCAGAAGACCAAAGGAAAATTTGAATAACTAAGAAAACTCTGGATTGATACTCATTGATTTATCTGCTATTCAGTAGTAATAAGCTCTTGAAAACCATCTGCAAGAGAAGACCAACCCAAAGAATTAATTTAACCCTCTGTTAACTGGCAGACCTAGTCTGACAATCTCCATAGTGTTACAACTAAAATAAACTGGAAAGGGTTAAATGGAAGAAGAGTTCACCATGGTCTTGGTGACCTGGAGGGAAAGTACTCAAATGTATCCTTCACTCCACTATCAGTAAGAGCTCTATTTGTCCATTCTCAATGTCTAACTTCTTTTAAATAAATGTTGATGGAATTTCTTCAGCTCAACAAATTTGGATGGAATTTTGAGAATCACTTGGAAACATTCTCATATATGCATAGTAAAAGTTTTGCAGAAAGAGCTCCATTGTGAGTGGAGACTTCAAAGTTAAAAGCCATTGGTCTTCTTTTTTTTTTGCCATACCCTATACATATTAGGGCTGTACTGATGGATCAGCAACCACTGGTATCAGCCACCAGTATGACACCATCAGCTGGCTTGCAAGCTGCTGATGCCAATGTCCAAAGAACTTGCAGAATGAAGGAAAAAAATGTGAACAGGGCTTGGCAACTGATTATTAATATTATTATGGCAATAGGAATGGGATTATTATGGCAATAGGAATGGTAATGGACTGATTATAGGACTGAAATAGGAATGGACTGATTATTATGGCAATAGGAATGGGAGACTTTATTACCCATTGCAAGGATCACACCTCCCTTTGAAGAAGTATTACATTTGGGAGGTTGCATCAAAAATCAAGCCAAGCAACCAGTACTTCGCATATTTTCTTGTAGGGATAACTGACTGGATTTCATTTAAACCCTGTAAGAAGAAAAAAGTGCAAGAATGTCCTAAAGCATAAGGTAATGTATAACATACATAGGTACACATAAGTACTGAAGATGAATAATCCTGGTTCAATATTCTCATTATAATCAGCACTTGAACAAGACTAGATAAGCATGGTACTGAAGATATATCACTAACCTCCATAAAATAAAACAGGGTTGTATCATCAAAAAGAATATCTTTGAGTGTGACACAACCACTTGTAAGCACCTCAACTTGATATTTGCAGAAAAAGGCTGTGGTCAGGAACTGAGGGTAATACCTAGATATGGGGAAGATGATGGACATTATGTCAAGAGAAATGTGCATGGGATTCTAAAGAGAAAAATAGATGCAGTAGCTTGCCTCTCTTGAAGCACATCAAATATGAAAGACTGAATGGCCTTGAAAACATCTGGATCAAGGTCCTCCCCAAAGGCCTTACACCTAACACTGGCAATGGCTTCCTCAGCCAGACTTGGTGGAAGATCAGGAACTTTCTCCCTCATTGAGGGTTGGAGGTAGCGATCACAGATAAGGCATGCATCCTGACCAATCACATCCCACAGTTGAGACGAGTTACTCAATTGGAGGCTCTTAGCACTTGGCACTCTTCTCACATCTTTATCACCAGGTAGGCTTAATGAAATCGAGCTGAGGCCTTTGTGGTTATTGGCACATAATGGGGAACAAGCAGGTTCACTTTCTGCTTGATCATTCTCAGCCTTTTTGCAGCTATCATTATCACAGATTATTTCAGATTTGCTGGTTGCCTCTGTCATGTTTCCCAGGGTGAGCATAGAAGTACGGAAGTTCTCAACATCCAGCCATAGGCGAATGTAGGGCAATGCAGAAGCTGATTCCAAATGCTGGATGAAATAAGGTAGTGCCATCTGCTCATGCAGTAAATCTTTCAAAGAGGGCTTCAGGCATGATTTGGATGTTTTCCATTCCCACTCTACACCACGGCCACATACTAAAAAAAAAGAAGAAACCAGCATAATTTTCAACAAGCTATTATTGATATAGCATAACAGAGAATGGACTGCTTTCTTACAGAACTCAGCTTCAGCTTGGAGGAGAATGGAGGAGAGTCTTCGATCCACTGAAAGATTTTCATCAATCCAATGGTCTGTGGATAGCTTGGCACCCTCCTTCTGATTCTTTTCTATGAAGCAGAAGACATTTCAACACTCAAGATGAGAAAGTCCACCATTATTGATAAGCATAGGCTTTAAGACTAGTAAGCATGAGCAAACTTCAGTAGAAGTCTCTGTTTTTTTGTGTAGACTGAATGGTAGATAGAATATAAGGCTGTTGTCATAAAATCAAAGGCAATAGTTTGAACTTTGAGGGTAAAATCCTTACCAAACAGCAAAAATGACTAGGGAGAGTCATAATATGTCTAAGAAGGGAAGAGTGTCATACTAATCTGGGTATCATTCTTCAGGGTTACATTTTGAATACTCCGCTTATCTTCTTGAGTAGCATCAAGAATGAGTGTACGGCATCTACAAATGATTCCACCCATTACTATGCATTCAATGATTCTGTAAAAGCTAGTGGGTTAATTTTCTCTGACCTATTTATTCTGCTAGCACAATCCAATACAAATCAATTGCTCTTGAATCTTAATAGTCCAGCATTATGTGTTTTATTATGTGATTGATTCCATTTCATAATAATTCTGGGTAGCTCAAAAAAAAAGCATAATGTTTGATGCCTTGGAACACCTACCGTACAGAACATTGCTAAAATTTGCTCACATTCACAAAGAAACTCTGTTGCCTGAAAGCTATACTTTTTTTTCTTCTTGTTGGTACCATGACAAAAAAAAGATGATACCATCAAAAAAAGTTTGGTGGTACGGAAAGAAACATATCATTCTTTTGATACAAATTTTACAGCATCAAATAAGGCACTTTTTTTTTTTGGATTCACCCAGTATTGTCCTCATGCTTGAATAAAAATGGAGACAGTCACACATTAGCTGAAGCTTCTTGCATTTTTCTCCAGAATATTCATATTCCATACTTCAGAGCACCCACATGACCATAGCAAAAGCCATCACCCAAATCACAACCCAACCAAGCTGAAACGTGTGAAGACAAGCTACTGAATGCACAAACATGTTGCAGGTTTTGTGCATCTATCTCCTTCCCCCCCCCCCCCCAAATAAAAATTACTAAGCCTCCTCATTATTTACTTCAACTGCAATCTGGAAGGTAGGCTTTAGACAGATGTGACATCAAATATGCTGATTTATGATGGAATATGGCTGTATCGTGTCTAAAAAGAATGATTAAACTTTAGCTCTATGGCAGCATGATACTTGTGCTCAGGTCTTTACTTTGTCCTCTCTCCTGAGAAAGGCCAGTCTCAATCACTCTTTTCAATTAAAAGATGAGGATTCTGTGGGGGTAAAAAAAACTCTATAACCACACTGCCCAGTGTGGAATGTTAAAGGAAGAGGAATTTTCTACCTCAAGCACCACTCCTGATGATAAAAAAAAATCAGTTAACCTCGTCTCCAGACCGCACAAGCATAACTAGAACTATTGAGGAATTGTGATTCCTTAAAAAAAAATAATCACCTTCACTTCTGGAAAGAGAATTCCAAAGTTACAAGTTTATTTGGAGCATAAGAATACACAGTTGTATTCAGCATCAATCCAACAATAACTTAAATGCATTCTGATCAATACTCTATACATTTGATTAAAAAACTCAAATTAGGTTGAGTAATTAGGTTGAGATAAGTGAAAGAAGTCTGTTAATTGCAATCATGGTCATGAGATGGGGAAGAGGATTTCACTGCCATAGTGCATATGTGAGGACATTGAGTCCCTGGAGACTGCTTTCTGTGTTGAAGGGCAGAACCTGCTCAAAATACAGTTTTTGATAATTTTCCATTCCCCTTTTTTTTTTTTGTAGGTCTACAGTGACTTCAAATAGTTTTTTCCAGAATATAAATTAAATGTGGTGCTGCAATATAGCCAATCCTATTGACATCCAATGAGAATGATTCAAAATTACAGCAAAGCAAGAAAATTAAAGCAAGATTCAACAAGCCAGGGGGCAGTCTGCTGATTATGTGCATTCTGATTAAAATTCGACACCCAAGTCAGTACTGGGATTTTGAATATCTATTACTATTTTCTTTCATCATTCCAGCAAACAATTTGGCCATGAGTAAACAGAAGATTTATATGACCTGAAAACTGTTCAAATATGACCAGAAAGTATATCTAAAAATTCAAATATAACATACCAAAGGAAAAAATTCATTTTTGGTCCTGGTATATTTTTATTTAAATCCAGCTATCTTCAACCTTCCCCCTTCCATTGGAATATCCTACATGCACTTTGGATGCATCCATCATCTACACCGGGGGTGTCAAACTGAAATCGGTCGGTGGGCCGCATTCCTTACCCTGCAGATGCCTGCGGGCCGCACCCATAAAATTTCACTGAAATTTGTGCTGACACTCAGTTCATGCAGAAAATTTCAAAAGCAGACAGCGGGCCAGCTGAACCACCTCTGTGGGCCGGATCCGGCCCGCAGGCCGTATGTTTGACACCCCTGATCTACACTAGCCAGTACCCAGGTCAATGACAGGACTTTAAATAGCTTCATGCTTGAACCTGAGCATTCAGTCTCAAGATAGCCCTAAACATCAAGGGCGACCATAAACAAGGCAAGAAACCATGAAATCAAGGAAGCAAAAATTCTAACCTGAGCGAGAAGAATCTTTCCTCTTCCAGAAAGGCATTTTGACGTCTGCCCTAGGCCGACTCAAAGTCACTGGTTGTTTTCTTGCATACGACCTTAATGTCTTCACACTCCGTTGTGTGGATGCACTAGGATGATCGCTACACCAGGCTAAAACTTTCCGTGCAGTGGATATTTTTGTAGCTCCAAGCCCTGCACTCGTCCTGTTCATCAGACCGATGACAAAATTCACCAAATTTGCCACCCCCAGGGTCAGGCCTGTCTTACGATCGCACCATTGGATACTCCAAATGTTTGCTACTCACGGTCGTTGACATATCATGAATATAATAGGAATCACGATACAAGAAATGTATCTATTATGTATTCTAATCCATCTGATGCACCGCGATGATTCAGAATGTAAGCATGAACCGCTTGGAGTATGCGGGCAGCCATGATGTCTAGCAATTCAGTCATTGCGGAGCAGCTGGAAAAGGAAATAGGATGTTTTTGAAAGGAAAGTTAAGTTAAGGATTGCTGCAGGAACCAGCCGCCCTAGAGCGGCTCCCGCAGTTCCAATAAAATAAAGGAGAACAGAATAGACGGAAAAGTATGAGGATAGTTTGACCATGAGTGGGAATCTCAGTAAGGAAGCCCTGTGGACCATTAACTGCCATTTATTCTCACTCATTGTCAAACTACCCTCGAAGGCTGCGGGAGAGTTAATTGAGTCCCCAGGCAGGAACCAGCAAACGGCGAAGCTACGGGAGAGGTACGAGAATGATTAAGTAGGTTTGGGGACTTCTGTACGAGAAGAGTTTAAAAGCGTTAGGATTGTCCTCACCGGAGAGAAGGTTAGCGAGGGGGGACCTTATCCAGGCATTTAAGATTATTAACCCTTTAACTGCGGTTTTTCTGTTATACGATATTCATGGAGCTGAGGGTTTTTTTTTATATAATAGGCTTTCTTACTTCTGGACAACTTAATAAAGGTTTGCACATTATTAAGCTTACCAGAGTTTTACTTGCTACTGGTGGCTTCTCGTAGTATTCTGATGCAAAAACATTATTATTTACATTATTTACAATTACTTTCCAGGAGTACAGTAGCTGCAAAAAATGTTACACACTGGTTACATTGTCATCACTGTCATATAGTACATCTCTTTCAATTTGTAACTTTAATAATTCACACTCTTCAACAGCACTTTCTTCAGGTTCTGCAGTGCAAACAAAGTCGTGAATATCCGAATCGCCGGACATTTTTCTGTTTTGTCCATTTTGGCAACGGCTAGTTGACGCCATTTTTCGGAAACCGTGTAACCATCTGAGCGATAAAAGTATGAAAACAACTTTTTTTTTATACTTAACACTTCAAACGAGCTGCAAAAGGTTCTAGAGACAGCCACGAGATGTCAGAACATATTCCTTGAGGAATCGAATCTGTCAAGTAAACACGACAATAATAATGACAAGAGGGAGAGACGAAACGCGTATACGCGACAGTAGCACTGGTGACACTTCCTACTCTGAGATGTTAACGCTATAGTAGCAGTTAAAGGGTTAAGGGAATCGATAACGTAGAGCGTGGTAGATTTTTCCAGTTTGATGTTAACGGCAGGACGAGATGGAACCAACTTAAGTTGCGTAAACCCCAGGTGAGGCGAAGGTTGCGACAGAACTTCTTTACTTGCAGGGTAGTGAACGCATAGTTAAGTGACGACGTAGTGGCTGCCCCTACTGTGACTAGCTTTATGAAGCTTGATGCCTTCATGGACAAAACAATAAAGGAGTATCGTAGCTTTAAGCGTCCAGACAGTAGTTGTGCTAGGCAAAAAAATAAATATATATATATATTATCTTTAACCCTAGAAGCAGTGGCGTAGCTAGGGTCTTCTGTTCCCGAGGGCAAGTTACAAAATCTGCGCCCCCAGGCCCACCCAAATATAGTATGGGGGATGGGGTTTTTAATACTGAAAGTACTGTTACAGAATTGTCAACACAATATGAACGTTGATAAATTTTATAAAAATTGAACTCATTTAATTTTTTAATTGAGAAAATTACAATTTTAAAATACAATCGAATAACTTGAATTCACCGCCAAATACCAATGACAAGAGAAACTTAGAGCAATACAGCACTAATGAATGCGCCCAATAAAACAAAATTTAAACAAAGAACAGTATTCTAATGTAATTCTATTAATTAGTTTGTTCCAAGTCTCAAGTCCCAGTGATCTAAAAAAAAACAACGCAGTCAGAGTTAGGAACTTTTGATACGATGACTTTAATATTTGCTAAATCAAGTTCATTTTCCTTGCCTTCACTACCGCAAAACTGATTGATTGCATCATCAAAATCAATCTTCTCAAGTGCTTCCCTCTCCACACTCAGAAGGGCCAGATCGCTGAGTCGATTCTGTCCCATCGATGCTCGAAGGTAAGGGAGAATTACCTTCACTTGGCTGAATGAGCGTACGCAGCTGGCAATCGACACAGCAATGATAAGAAGAATTTGTAGTGCAACCCGCAAATTAGGAAACACATCTTCTCCATAACTCACAATGAAAGACTAAAAGGAGTCATGGGTGCAGCGTCCTGGCGGGTGTCGAGGAGCATTTTGCAGTCACATATTTCATTGCATAACTCTATCCCTTCTATAATACATCCGAGTCATAAAAATTTCCAAGATCAATACAATGTTGGCGGAGACTGTTCAAATCGTCATCTTTCAAAAGACCATCAACATCGAGTAAGAATCCGAATTTGAAGTTCAGGTCTTTAAGTCGAATGAACCTTGTCATTTCCTGTTGGAGCCGGTCTAGGACGCTCATCAGGATGTTATCTTCCACTTTCGCCCCCCGAGACTTAATTGAAAGTTAGTTGCTAAATTTTCGCTTTTATTTCATCTCGATAAACGGGGGCGAGAGTGCACAGAGGCGACTTTCCAAACGTTAATTTCGTGAATGATAACCAGTCTCAACCCTTTAAGAGGAGAGGCAAGCTTGACTCCCAATTTCACTTCCGTACACTGTGTAAGATGGATACTAAAAATGACCAGAAGCTGATGAAACTATAGTCCCTCATGGATTCCGATCATCTTTTCATTACGAAGCAGTCATATGATGATAATATAAAACACAAATCAGGTCATGCAGCTAAAAAGAATTGCATCTGAATAAACTTATTTCTACTCAAAGGACACCACATGAGACAGGGCCGAAACATAATTTTTCAGATCAATTTTGTTTCTCAGAAACAGAATCTGGAGACGGTCAATCCGAACCTCCAAGTCTATGGATTTCTTTTTCCTCCTCATCCTTGCACCCCCAATCTCCAGCATGATCAGCTGCGATTCCATGTATGATTGTTCCTTTCGAATCAATGCCACGAGTTCAAAAATGTTCAAGTGGCTCTTCTGGGCATAAACATTCATTCTATGATGCCACCCTTCTAGGCTATTTGTTGTCCTCGGCCCAACTTGACCATGTTTGTTCCAAACTTCATTTGGGAAAGAAGCATCATCGTCCAACCATGTCTCGACTAGATGATCCATGAACACCCGTGCTTCGGGAAAATTAGGTACATCCGCCTGCATCAGCAAGAAGACTTCATCCACCAGAGCCAGTGGAACCAAAGGAAAAGTGCCAGCAATCCTTGCTCATTTGCGGAAGTCTTCATCATTCCGGTACAGTTGGGAAAGCCAAAACGCCTGAAGCTTCCGCCACAAGGCCCAGCAGTTGTGGAACATGCACCCTGACACTGCAGCAACAGGAAAGTTTCTTTGATGGCTTTTCAGCACTTTCAGGCACTTTTCTTCCTCGCATTTCCAGCGACTCCTGTTCTCACGCTTCCAGTAAGATCGATACGCATAGCCTTCGAGGCAGTGGCGTATTTTACGGGGGGGGGGGGCGGGGGGGGCAGCCGCCCCCCTTGGCGCCCATAGGACAGAGCCTGGCGCCCCCCTTGGAGGAAATTACTAATATTTTCTCACCTGATATCACCTGGGTGGGGTTTGGCGCCCCCGCTCTGTTGCTTTGCCCCCCCCTCCCCCAACCCTTCAGCCAAAATACGCCACTGATTCGAGGACGAGCCTTCCGCCCCTTGCAGTCTCTATCATCTCTCACTTATTTTCAGTATCATCTTGCACATGGAGGGATGGTGAAGCTAGGAGTTGACTTATCTGCCCTTTTTAAGGGTTGAGGCAGATACGGGTATCAGTCGTGAAAATCACACGTGGAAAGTCGCCCCCGTGCTAAATTAAGGGGTAGGGACCAAAGTCACTAAAATTTTTTGTTTCGATGGGCTGCTAAGTCGTAAACTACATTATTATTCATACATTATTTGAAATGATGAATATTATTAATCATTAATGCCGTTGACAACCTAGAAGCCCTCCAAATAAAGTCCAAACAAAAACGTAATTTTCGGTCCCTTAATTTGCGCCCGACCAGCGCACGGGGGCAACTGCCCCCCCCCCTTCGTTACGCCACTGCCTAGAAGCGGCAAGGTTCTAGGGTTAGGAGGAGTAGGCCTATCTTAATAGTATCTGAACGCTCGCCCTCGACCCGTGTCGTCATGATGGGCGGTTACGCCTTTTGACGGCCCTACCAAACCTTGAACCTTGGCGAAGAGAATAGCGTGAGGTTGGGTACAGTCATTTTTACTGGAGTGAGATGATTTTTCACTTGATTCAGCCATTCGGGCATGAAAGAACATCCCATACACGAGTGTCTGACTCAAGTGGAAAATACTATAGTCACTATAGAGGACAATTGTCATCATCAGCTCGCACTTTATCTCGAATTCGCTCGAATCTGAGTCTGAAATCTAATCTAATCTGCAGAACTGTAAGCGAAACCAGGGTCGGACTGGGCCACCGGGATACCGTGAAATTTCCCGGGAGACCCCCAGACCCAAATATATTTATATTCTTGAGAAGGGGGCGATGGGTGGGTAGAAGGAGCCCTTTGTCAGCAATTTCCCGGGGGGCCCCTAGGCCGCAGTCCGACCCTGAACGTAACGTACTATCAGACCCGCCCCATGGAATTATCCCATGTTGCGCCCTTGAGCAGGGCGTCACGTCCCGCCCCCCCCCCCCCCTCCCCTCCCATAGCTTTTTCCCCTCATTGTCTCTGTTGATTCTCCCTTCCATCGAACTAGTTTCTATTCATACATGCCTAAGTTTTCTCCTCCTCAGTTGAAGTGAATCTGAATGACTAAATCCAGTCTGCATCTCTTCATTCAAGTACCAGTATACTGAAGAGTCTGGAGCTCATGAGTACCCAATGGGGGTTGATTGACATGCTCCCGGACCCTCCTCGATAATTTCAGCACTGCATTCCTTGCTTTTCGAAATGAAAAAATGTCAATGATGTGGTCAAAATCCATTTCTTTCGTTGTTTTATTTTCAATGGAAAGTCTTAGGTTGGCCCATTGTGGATCGGATACGTCTTGAAAAGCTCCAGTTTCATTAACCTCTTCGGAGATACTGGCACAAATGTGGTCGTTTGATTCAATGCATTTTAAATTGGTATAAAGCTGATCCCTATCTGCTCAGTTGCGACAGGTGTTGCCAATTTGTTGAGAATTTTCATTGCAGTTGGTATCACTGTTCCCCCAGCTCGCAGAGTACTCCACACCTGTAATTTTTTAAATATTTTTTTTCTTCAATTCATCCCTGAAGAGGTTAACCTCGCACGCATCACATCCACTGTAGTAGACGGCTAGGATTTGTTTGCTTTTCAGTCATGGTACACATGCCTCGAAACTATTGGTGCATGCATTCCATTCCAGTGGACATCAACTACTCAGTGTTACCCTCTAGCAAAGTTGGACGTTAAACAAATAAAAACATGTTTGTTTTGATTTTATAAATCATGCACGTGAGGGTTAACTTGGACGAAGCATATTGATCGGGGAAAGATAAAAATATTGAGGGCTATCTCCAAGTCGGGATAAGCATTGACGAATCGCTTCTGATAGATTTTATTCAGAAGATCCCGTGTTGATGCAAGACTGAGATTTTGGTTCTGAGAAGGTCCATGACGTTGGAAGCTTTCCACCTCTGAATGAAGCTCGACTGCATTCAAATCGTTTGGGCATGCTATAGCCAAATCCTCAGTGTGTTTCTGAAGTTCTTCAATTGGCCAGTTGGCGATGACACTTCCATTCGGGAAGCTGGAATCTTCGCAAACAGACCGAAGACTATGATAGTGCTATTCAAACTCATCCAATAACGATCGATACCTGCCAATGTTTGGATTCTGTAACGACTCTTCTTGTGGAGGCCCCAGCTCCATGGATTCCTCACCGAGCATTTTCTTCTTAAGGCAGCGTTTCCCCTATGGGAAAGGTTTCTTTAATGCCTAATTCCAGGCATTATTTCCTCGCTCTCATCAGAACCTCAGTAATCACAAACTCTCGAGTTGACTGCACGGCATTCACGAGTCCGAAGACACGGGAAGTTGAATCTGCGATTGTGCATACAGGGGATTGCACATCGACCTAGGGCCTCATTCAATATATTTCTTAAAAGTAAGCCTAGAACCCTGCTAATGTGTCTGCTTAAGTTGGCAGGGTTCTCAACTCATTCATTCAATATCCGTCTCATCACACTGCTTAACCTAGCAGAGTGCTAAGGGACGCAGAGCAAGCGTTACATCCTGGGACGGCCCTGTTTCTTCCGTGTCAGCCTGCCAGCTTTCAAACGAAAAGCCTACAAGAGCAAATGGTTTTGCTGGCGAAATATCAGGAGGGCTTTGTGATGGGTGCATGCCAGTGCCAAACGGTCTTGGTATGCATCTCCATCTGGATCTTCATTCGGTTGTTCATCCATGAAGACATTAAAATAGTCATGAAGGCCCTCGACTTTTTGCGATGGATTACACATGCAATGTTGATGGTGCTTGCTCAAGCTGGAGTCGTACACGGCTCTGAATGTAGGCAATGGAACCTCATTTTCCACTACCAAAATATTACCTTTACCATGGTCGTCCTATGTGCTTTATGTCGCACTCGTAGTCTGCAGGGTTTAGGTATGGAGTCAACAGGACTTTTCGGGCATGCATAACCACTTTCTTCTAGAGAGAAACCAGAGGCTGCTCTACTTTGCAACTGGTCATACAAGGAGCTTAGGGAAGTACCCACGCTAGAAGCATATAACATTGAAACAACATTGATTCAATGTTGATTCAACATCTTTACGCTGAACCAACGTTGAATCAATGTTATATGCTACTAGGGCTGACATCGTGGGCACCACCGGCCAGCTTACAGATATAACTCGTACATGTGATCTCATATGTACGGATGCAAACGCACATGGCGTTTATTGAATAGTATCCCTTGTGATTGAAGTAATCAGGCTCATTAACTGCTGGAGCTTGAATTAGCACATGAATACCGACGATCACACCAATCACCCATGGGAATTGACAAGGCATCAGGCATCCTTTTCTTGTGCCATCTGACCATCATCTGGTTGCGTCACAAAATGTGAAACCCTGCTCTCATAGCAAATGCATCCTTCCAAAATATCCTACTTGCAGAAATATGGGAGATTTCCACAGTCACTTAGCACAGCTTGAAAAGATCCTGTAGCGAAGTATTGCAAAGCAACACAGATTTGAATAACATTGAATATGGGGATTTCTGGGAGCAACTGCTTATTTGTCCTCCTGAAGAAAGCCAATGAGGAAAAGAATGCTGCTCCTGTCAAATCGCTAACGCTTGTACAAGTCGGAGTTGTAATAAGCATCAAGCGGATTGATTCTCTGGAGAAGAACACTTTTGCGAGCAAGAA